AAAATTAGGAGTTTTAAAGTCACAATTGTGATTTTCCATGTCCCTGAACATGCTGGTTTGTTTCTTCATAGGTGATTTGCTGGCAGAGGTTGGATTTCAGTTTTTCAGATTGCTTCAAGAATGCCAAATACTGCCAATTTTTTTCTCAAAACATCAAGTTGCTGGTGTTTGTATAATCTGGTTTGGTCTCTTTGGATGGTGCTCCCGCTACCACCTGAGTCTTCTCCTCTGTAGCTCTGCTTTCTCTCTTGGGCTGATCAAGGACTGTGAGTTTCCCCAATTCAGTCAATTCTCTAAATCCCATGAAATCTGCCTACATCACCTGCAGGGCAGGCCTAGAGACCCTGTCACCAGTTGACAAATTTCTCTTGCAAAAGCTTTAACAAAATGCCTGTGAGCCTGGCAGGCATCACAGCAGCCCCTGATGCAGGTTGAAGTGTTGTGACACTGGAGATGAAAGGGCTCTGTCACTCATCCTGGAGCTGAAACCTGAACTTGACAACCTGCATGACCTTGTCTGGAGAAGCTAGGGAGAGGCTGCTGTACAAACACACAGGGATGCTCCTGGCGAGACCGTTTCCAAGCAGGACAAAGTGCCACTTGGGCTGCTCTGGGCAGCATCCTCCATCCTCACAGGATCTTTGAGCTCATTCCGTGTGAAGAAATGGAAGGGACATTTAGAGATTTGGTGTCCTGCTGCATAAAGTGCCCCCTTTGCTGGAACTGTAAAGAAAAAGCTGGCATGGAACTGGGCCCATTATGAGCACATGCATTAAACACCACCATCACCCTGCTCCTCAGTGTCACAGCAGAGGACCTGTGCTCAGTGACCACTCCTGGGACACCTGGCGTGGCAGAGCCAGCAGTGTTGGAAATGCTTGAAGCTGCCTCCACCAGCCAGCTTTGTCACACACCCCGTTTCACTCAGCCTTCCCAGAAGGCTCCCACAGTCCTACAACCAGCACCAGGACGGAGTTGCTGCCCTGCATTTCCCTGCCCATCCCTGGGGACATATCCAACCCAGAAGCCTGTTCAAGGAGAGCTTGGGAGAAGCTTCACGCTGAGGAGGACCTGCATAAATGCAGCTTGTAGGAGACCCAGGAGATCAGTCCCCCCTGGGGTTCTGCAGGGCACGACAGGGGTGGCTCAAGGAGCAGGGGTGTCCCAGTCCCAGCACGGCCACCAGTGGGTGCTGGGACACAGGTGAGCACTCGGTGGCAGTGGTGCAGAAGATGTTCTGGTGCCACTCCATCTGATGGTCTCTATAGCAACAGTCAGGCTTTTTCTTTCCCAGCTGATGTGCCAGGAGCAGCAGGTAGATATGACAGAAATTCAACGCTGCTATTAATTTACATGAGCTGGGTGAAGCGTAAGCAAGAGGAGTGCGGGGGATAAGGAGCTGGCAGTGTTCTCCAGGCAGGTTCCTTACACCAGCCAGGCTCACCTTACAGAGATCCCCAACTGCACCCTGGAACCAGAGCTGCAGTGGTGGTTTGGGTGACCCAACATTCCAACCCTCGTGAAGTGGCCTAAAAGGGGGAAAGTTGCATTGGCCAGGGTGCCTGGGAGAAGGAATTTCTGGATTTCATCTAGCTCTACAAAACTTTCAGGCATGCACAAACCTGGATTTTAACTTATGTTCTACCAATTTCAGGAATAGAAAGTCTATTCTCCCTGGTGGAGGGGGGGGGGGAAAGGATTAACTGAATTCAGTGACAGAACTGCCTGTCTCAGGCAGTGTTTTGCTACCTGCTCTCCCACTGCAGCCACCTCCAGCAGTTGTTGGGGACTCTGGCGTGAGTTACATGCTTGCAGAGTGCCTATAAGCACAGAGCTGCTGGGGCTCAAACCCAGTTAAACATTTTGGGTTTTCTGGGAGGTGCAGACCACGGTGATCCTCAGTACTGAGCTGCCCCCAGTGTTCTGCCCTGCTTTCATCATGGTCACGATGGCGAGGAGCACTCCAGGAACTGCAGAGAGGGATGATGTTATGTTTGTTCCTTTATTTAATACCTGATTAAATGAGCTTCAGGGTGCCTGGGAGAAGGAATTTCTGGATTTCATCCAGCTCTACAAAACTTTCAGGCATGCACAAACCTGGATTTTAACTTATGTTCTACCAATTTCAGGAATAGAAAGTCTATTCTCCCTGGTGGGGGGGGAAAAAGGATGAACTGAATTCAGTGACAGAGCTGCCTGTCTCAGGCAGTGTTTTGCTACCTGCTCTCCCACTGCAGCCACCTCCAGCAGTTGTTGGGGACTCTGGCGTGAGTTACATGCTTGCAGAGTGCCTATAAGCACAGAGCTGCTGGGGCTCAAACCCAGTTAAACATTTTGGGTTTTCTGGGAGGTGCAGACCACGGTGATCCTCAGTACTGAGCTGCCCCCAGTGTTCTGCCCTGCTTTCATCATGGTCACGATGGCGAGGAGCACTCCAGGAACTGCAGAGAGGGATGATGTTATGTTTGTTTGTTCCTTTATTTAATACCTGATTAAATGAGCTTCCCTCAGTTCCTATGTGACAGTGTGATTTAATTAATGCTGAATCCATGCACACAGGATGCGGCAGAGCTGCTCACGGTTGGCACGGGCTACATCTATAGAATGATTTCGGAAAAAGGAAGACGTCAGCATGATAAAAATGGAAAGTGTTAGTGTGCCATGTGCTGCCAGGAAATGGGGCTGCTACCCTATTCTAAACCTCGATCAGACTTCTAATGCAAGTTAAGTTGTTCACCCCACCTTTTACCATTTAAAATAACTGAATGGAATACCTGCCCCCAGCTGAGGCCAGCAAGTGCTGCCGTAGGAGGCAGGCAGGCTTCCAGTCTAACTCCTCAAGGCACATCCACTATGGAAAGCCAAGCGGCAGCAGAACTTCAGTCATACCACAACAAAAACTGGGAAGAAAACCCCAAATGGCTGCAGGTTTACAAGCTTGCCCTCTGCAGTCAGAGCAGTGAGGTGGCTCAGCTGTGAGACTCAGGGTGTCTGCACTCCATCGATTGCTTGCCCACCTAGCCAGGGCCACCGGCTACTTCCAAATCCACACCCTGCTGCAGGCACAGATGCAAAGACCAGCGGTGAATTTAGAGGAAAGATCCAGGATAAACTACAAGGAGAAGCAAAGCTGCTGGCCACCCACCAAGTGTGGAAATAGCATGGAGGAGAGAGGGACAAGCAAGGACACCACCGTTTCAATTGGCAATCGAGTTGCTTCCTGCCTTACAGACCAGGCTCAGCTCTCTGATGCCAGCCATTCACAGCCATGACTGAATTCACTCTCTCCTGCCCTGCTGGATAGCATTTTTCATCGTACAACTCTGCTACAACATTTCAGACAGACCTTTACCTACAGGTAATTACCAATCTGCAATTCCAACAACATTCTAACCAGGGCAAAATCCTGACTGCCGGGGCGGCGACTGAGGAAGCTCCTGTGCCTGAGCAGAGGCAGGACCGGCCCCCAGCCCCTTCCCCGCAGGGCAGACTGCGGCCAGTGCCGGCCATTCCTGCTCATCCAAAGCGGCTGCCGCAGCAGGACAGGCGCTGTTCCCAGGCTGGGTCCTGCAGCAGCTGCCGGGCAGAGCTGCCACCCCTTCCCGGACCAGCTCCTGCTGGCTACAAGCAGCAGGTTTGACCCTGCACGTCCAGCTAACGAGCTGACAATCCGATTGTCAGAGCCACGCCAGGCCAGCTCCAGCAACAGTGAGAGGGAGCCCAGAGCTTTCCTGCTATCACAAACTCTGTTTTCGTGCTTCTGGTTTTAAACCTGGCTGCTAAGTACACTTCATTTTGCCCAATTCCCGCTCTGCAGGACATCCACCAGGGAACTTCAGCACTGACTAGAGAAGCTAGAAAGCATCCTAGGCAGCCAGGGCAGCACTAGACAAAATCCTCAGGAATGTTTCATGGTGGTACTAAAGAAATGTTTGCACAGAAGGGTTTTACTACCTTTAACTGTTGGTGCCTGAAGCAAGCACAGTCCTAACGAAGGCATCTCCAAGCAGCAGCTAGAGCAGAAACACTTCCTAGACATAAAACCCAGGGAGGCCACTGTGCCTTGGTCCCCTGAGCAACAGCTGCAGAAACAATTTTAAATAATCACTCACGTGCTGAGCCAGTCCCAAGACCCCAGTGCTGGCCTATGTGTGCAAATCAGACCCTGAATCTCCACAGCTTTGGATTTTATGTTCTTCTTGGCATCCTAAACCCAAATTTTGTCTTCCAATAACTGAGCCAGGGCCTTGTTTCAGCTGGTGGTGTGCTGCTGTGCCAGATGCAGGGGAGGCTTCCTTCTCGACAGCCCCTGTCTCTGCAAGGGTTTCAGCAGGAGCCTGGCCACGACCCGCTGCTCACCTTACCCACCTGCAGCCCTCAGCTGTGAGGGATGTGGCTCCCAATCCTGCCAGGATGGAGGGTCCAGGGCACACAGCCCCTCCTCCCTGAGCCCAGCTGGAGCGCTGCTGCCAGAGGTGCTGCCTACAGGAGGCACAGCAGCAGCTGCAAGGCAGCTCCCAGGTCCATGGGATGCTTGCAGAGCCCCGGGGCAGCTTCCTCCTTGGGTGGTTACCACCCAATGATTTTGGGCACATGCTGGAGGCTTTGGCAGCTGCTGCTTCAGATCCAGGTCCTCTGAGAGATCTGCTGGCACAGTTCCCAGTGCAGGAGGCCACTGTGCAAGAAGGCACTGCAAGGAACACAAAGTTCACTCTGAGGAATATACCAAAGTTTGGCATATTCCCGGGGCTGCTAGCTGGATTTGAGAATAATTTGGGTGTCTATTTACTCAGTTAACAGCTTCCTTAATTAACAGCTGTCTTTTCCTTCAAGAGTAATCCATTCTTTGCAAATAAAGTCTCTCATTGGCTTACCTGGTCGTAGCACCCAGATATTTATCTGGAAACTCCACTTTGGATTAGTCCTACAAAATTAATTAAACCTTCTCAGAGAAGTGAAAGAAAATCCACTAGCACCACTGATCATCAAATGAATAGTGATTCTTTGGATGAATGTTAAAACCCATTTATTCAGGCTTTTGTGCAGGGTGCACAGTCCAGCAGTTACGTATACACAGTATGCACATCCTGACAGCATACAAAAAGGCAAGGAGCAACGGGGTGCTTACACTGGGAATGTATATACAGACATATTAAACTGGGATTTTTACATTAGAAAATTATCTGACACTCTTCAGGTATCATCAAGGCTATTAGAAATTGTGTAGAAAACCAATAAAACTTGGAAAGTATCTACTGTCATTTCACTTTACCCAGGCTGGATATAAGTCAGGCTTCCCACACTACATCACTTGTGGACAAAGCCTACAGGATGCCCCAAGCACTTTGGAGGGTCACATTACTCTAGCACATCCCATTACAAGTTAAAGATTAACACATTAGTATTATTTCCTGTTTTCCTGGAAAGAACAACAGCTTAAATACTTCAAAGAGCTAATTTTCTCCTGGAAAAAGACGACAAAGGAAAGATTTAGAGACCATGAGAGAACCAAACACTAATGAAATGTTGTAACAGCACTTCCTGGTCCTTCCAAAAACTCTTCACAGACCAGGCACCTAATTTAAAGCACTGTACACTGTCCAGATTTACAGAAGTGCAATAGCAGGCCTTGGCAGACCCCAGGTCTTCTGCAGATCTTTACCTTGCTCCTATCCTAAGGGTTGCAAGAGATCGTACTTTTGTAACCTGCACAGAAAGACACAGAGAGATCAAAAAGATTTAGCAAAAGGATACTAAACAATAGACAGAAATATGCAGCAACATCATATGAGCCATGCTTCACTTCCTGCAGCTATTCCATATTTAATTTCTGACTGAACTTTGTTCCTAAGGTGTCAACAGAACGAAGGAGAAGCAGAAACAAAGTGATTTCAGAAACACACGATCCCTGTGGCCAAGGCACCCAGGGACACCCAGAACCCATCTTCAGAAGCTTTCAGCTTGAAGAGCAGGTCCAACTCTCTACGTACTCTTCTATGCCAAATTTTTGCACATAGCAGTTCAGTTTTAGTATCAAATTTTAGCATTACAAAGAACCTAACTGAAAATCCACCCAGGGTAGTTTTAAAGGACCAATCCACTCTTGCAGGTAACACAAACCACATGTGAGTGCAACAGAGATTGTGTTAAAACTGCTCCCAAAGATGGCTGAAATAAAATGCCTTGCGCACAAATACACCAAATATAGCACATATTTGTAGAACATTCAATCACAGCCAGTATTATTTCAGACGTATTTTCCTTTTAGCACAGCACACGTGCTGTTTGCTGAGCAAGCTCTGGCATTTAGTTTATTCCATTTGTTCCTTTGCACGAGCCTTTTGGAGAAAAAGGTGAGTACAGCATAAAGAATCTCTCTCAAATTTATTTCTCTCCTAAAGTTTAAAGTTCTCTGGTGGAAATCATTATAATGAGTCAAAACTTACTTGAGTGGAGACACATTTCAAAAATTTACATTTTCTATGCAGAGAAAAACATTGTTGAAGTGGCTGGAAAATCGTTTTCCTTTCAGAGAATGATTCCCTTAAATATATTATGACTAGGCAAAGAATAACCAGTATTTTACATTCAGCCTTCCTATGTGAACCTTCCTTTGTTGTGAACATCTCATTCTGATTGTTTTGGAGAAAGAAACACTTCAGCTGTAAGCAGCAATATATCATAATACTTCAAAATTAATCAGGAAAAACAGTAAATAACCAAATTTTCTTTGATATTAGTAAACATAGGGAATGAACATCTATTCAAAACAATGAAGCCTTCAATAGGATTTGTTTTTTAATTTATGAGTGGAGGTACAGCATGTAACGAGTAGGAACATCAAAATTCTATGCAACAGCCTGTTTCCCTCACAGATAATTTTCTGGCACAGAAAGTCAGCAAGAACTTCCAGGGCTTGACCATAAGCAAATAAGGCATGTGGTTAAGACTGGTGTTTTAAAAGTCAGACAGCAATTCCTGGACATGGGTGGGGAGAAGAAACAGGTTTCTGTCACTGAGTGAAACCGTAGGCTGGGAAGGCACCACTGAAACCAGTGAAATGTTTCCTGGTACTGAGAGATCCCCAGGAACAGCCATCCTTCACATGTGGCTAAAACCAAACATGCACATAAGTAGATTTGATTCTGAGATCAAGAACAAACCTGAACCATATTCACTCTGTCTGCTGTGATATTTTTAAAATTGTATTTTAAACACAGTTTTAAAAAGTCTCATTTTTAAAACAATACAAGATCAAAGTTCCTATAAGTAGTAACTTGTACATTTCACTTTAACACAGCTATTACAAGGCCTGATGCCACATGCTGTATTAGAAATTTCCAGTTTAACCATGCTATCTATACATTTTTAATATATATGTGCATGTATACACATACATATAAATTATCAAGCTCAGTTAAACACAAAACAAATCATGATACCTCTTCCTCAGAAAATAGTTTCTTCCATTAAGCTCCAGATTGCAAAGATAATTTCAGTGTCATAGGCAAAACATAATTTTACAAAATTGTTGGAGAGGAAAAAAAGCATTTTTACTCTTAAATTGGTGCAATAAGACACAACAGAAGTAATTAAGGGAAATATGACTGAAGAATGATTCAGTATTTTCTTCTCCAGTGCTCCCAAAATAATCCAGCAAGTGCAAATAAATAAAAAGCCATGTGAGTTGTACCAAAGTACTTTTCTATAATGAATTTAGTTTGAGAAGTCCATCTAGTCATACCTAGCTGTCTGCCTCCATTTTTCACCTTGAGTCTAAGGTCTAATTAGTTAGCTAAGTGCACCATATTTTTTTGCTAGGACTTCGGGCTTAAACTTACCCTCACAATGTTTTTAAACTAATAATTATGCAACATCTTCCTTCCCTGTCTTAATTTGCATTCTCATACTGAAACAAAGTTATTTAATTGCATTGAAACTGTTGGTGATGTAAACTGAAATCTGTTCTTCAGATGAAATAAAAGGCATGACACATTAACAAGAAGGAAAAAAAAAAGAAAACAACAAAACAAAGACAAGCCCAAACCAAAACCAAGCAGTAAAAGCAAAGAGAATGAGACATGAGAGCCAGTTCAAAGAAGACTGGGAGAAGCACATATGAAAGGACCATCTCAAAGCATACAGAAGCCACTGCTAGAAAGAAGCAGAATTCCAGGATTTATTTTCATGGCCCTCTATTACAATGAACAGAGACAGGTATTTTCCCCCACACCTGCCACTGTGTTTACAGACAGATGTCTTGGGGTGACTCTATGATGCTCGTATCCCCTTTCGTCTGTTAAACCCAGAAAGAAGTTGTGCACCCTTAGGACTGGTTCTGAGAGCAAAGCAGGTAGAGAGAAGAAATGTGTAGTTTGTTTTCAGAAGCTGCACTCACTCCACATTCCTGCTCCTGGACTGGGCTGTCTGTGCACGGATAGACAGACAGACAGCAGGACAGAGCTGTCCTTTTGCTTTTTAGTTAGTTTTAGCTAGTGAGCTACAGCCCATGAAGGGGACTTTCTGAATTTATCATCTCTTTGGAGCGGCGAGAGGTTTAATTGTTTAATACTGTTCTTGGGTTGTTGTTTTGTTTTGTTGTTTTTTTGTTTTTTTTTTTGTTTGTTTGTTTTGTTTTTTTTTTTGGTTTTTGTTCTGGTGAATGCTTTGCCTGTTAAATAAGCAGTTTTTTCCATTTTTCTTCAAGGAAATATTTTCCCGAACCAGCTGGGGGAGGGACCACTTGAATTTGCTTTCTAGACGAACCCCTTTGGAGATTTTCTCCCAAATTTGCCCTAAATCAGGACAACAGGGCAGGCTGAAGAACCATGGGACACCTGACTCCTGCTCTCAGGTACCTGTGCTTATGCTATAGAGGAGTTCAGCTTTTACAAGAGTGACCTGCAGAGAACGTTCAAGCCAGACAGGAGTATAACAATAAATAAGCCTTATTTAGGACTCCACAGGAAAAGCCAACTATTTCATGGCTGGTTTTTGTTGTTGTTTTTTTGGTTTTGGTTTTGGGTTTTTTTGTGGTTTTTTGTTGGTGGTTTTTTTTTTTTTTTTATATCCAGGACACCTGTTGTGCAGAAAAGCAAAGCTGCAGCACCATGCAGTTGTGCCTGACAGCTCTGCTGCTTGAGCAGGAATAACCATCCTGCTCCAGTGCTTTCTCCTGCCTAGTCCAGACAGCCAGATGAGCTACACAATGCAAGCACAGAATTTCTCTCTCTCCCACATACTCCTTTGTGCATTTGAGCAGAGCTGGGCTCAAAGCTGAACCTCATGGGTGTAAACACCATGATTCAGATTCTACATTAACATAGTTGTTTTCCGACATTGTCTCCAGAAAGCTACCAGCAGTTATTAACTAATCAATACAATTATTTATGCTATAAGGTGGCATATGCCATGCATGTCTGGTAAGAGAACATGCATGCAAAATTAATCCAAAGACTATTTTGAGAAGCAGCAGTAATAGTTCTAAATTTGAAGATGATGAGTTCACTGGCTTTGCTGAAAACAACACTAAGATCCCAAATGCAAAAGAAGAAAGAGCTGTGTTTCCAAATGGTATGGAAAAGTACGACTGGCACTGAGCAGTGAGACAGGTTCCCAAAACGCTGTTCACAAGAGAAGAGATCCAAGAATTCAAAAGGTGAATTAAACTGAAGAAACACTGTTAAGGACATGAAACAAACAGTGGAGTGCTGATTAATGGTGTGAAGATTTCTTAAAATTTTTAGAGATTTTTCTGATGTGTGAACAAGGTTACCTGAATCTCAAACAATGAATCTGCTCATTTGGAAGTAAATGAATTTGTTCCCAGCAGTAAAGGCAGTTGGGATCAGGGCTGACTCATCTGTGTATTCTGGATGCTATTTCTCAAATTCGCTGAAGACTGAAATGGACTTGGCAGAAAAGTTTTGCACCTCGATCTCAATGCAAATGAATCTCTTTCTGGCAACACAACTGCAATTACCATATTCACAGAGATTATTAATTAATCAGAAGTGCTATTTGAATAAAAGTGTGGCTCATTGATATATTTTAAGAAAGCATTTGATACAGTAGTCAACCATTCACCATAAGTTTAATTTAGCAGAATGTTACTGAAGCCACAGATTAAGAAGTTAAATACTGTATCAAGTTTAAAGAAGAACTCGAAGGTGAATAAGAGGTGTGAAAGCTGAGGCTGTAGGGAGCTGTGGATACAAGATCCCACTGGTGGAGGGATTACTGTTTCACAGGGGCACACATGGGTTTCGTGTTGCTGGAACAAGCAGTGGGGCAGCAGAACCCTGCACGTGCACAGCTCCTGGCCCTGCAGAAATGTGCTGGAGAAAAATAACCACACTGCAGAGGAAGTTATAACTATAACACAGAGGCCAGGCTGGGAGCACGTGGCCTTAAGAACTCCAAGACCTTTAAGTGCTGGGCAGCAGGTTTTCTAAAAGCCTTCAGATAATGGCAACTCCTCATCTGTAAATAAGGCAGCTTAAAAGCAAACAAAGAAACAAATTTTAAAAACCAAAAACAAATAAGCAGAAAAAGCAGTGCAATTGTCCTACCTCTGAGCTTGATCTCTTTTCACCTGATCCACTTATCCATAGCACAGGAAACATTAACTCTTATGCACACGTGCATTAGGAACATTTGCACCAACCAGGCCGCCTCCTTTGATGTGCATTTCCATCTCCCCTCGTTTCTTCTGCTGCCTAAAGCCTACTGCTGTGAACAGAAACACTCTTGACATATTATTTGCAAAAGCCAATATAATCGCCTCATGGAATACCAGCAATTCAAAATGCTCTGTTTCCTCCTGCTACCTTTGCTGGTCCCTAAAGTATCAGCTACGTGGACATAATCTGTCTCTTCCTGAGGCACTGCTGCAAGTATTGTGGTCCCTTCTGAAGAAATTTCATAGCTTGGTGAGAAAGTCTTTTGGGCTTGGTGACTCCACTTCATTCACATGGAACAAAACACATACAATTGATATGGCAGCAATCTCTTGGGTGGAAGGAAGGAAAAAAAAAAAAGGCAAAGCAAAGCAAAGCTTCTTTAATAGCACTCCAAAGTGGCAGTTTATCAACTCAGACAGTAAAGCGAACACAAGTGACAAACTCCATGAATCAAAACAAAATCAGGCAACTGGCCTATGCCTATGGATCAAGACTCAGCTCAGTGAAATGAAAAGTACAACTTGCTCCAGAAAATTGGCTGCTAAATTTGCTAAGCAGATTGTTGGTCACACACCTGCCACAGGACTGTGCTGAAAAGGAGTCCTCCACACAAGTAAATAATGAGCCAGTAAGGGAATCTAGTGCACATTTGCATTTGGGGTGTTCTCCCCTCTCTGAGCCCGCTACCATCACACCAGCCCTTCAGCTTTAAGTTGCCCCTTGCTGCGGATTGGGTCCCCAAACTGGGAAAAGGAGCAGCCAGGAGAACTCCCCTGCCTGCAGACCAATTTTGTGGGGAGGAAAGGCACTGGACTGTGCTGCCTGGGAAGGGAGCAGTGGGACATGGCACTTGGCAGGTGCCCATGGCCACCAGCCAGAAGCATCTCCTCAGCCACCCAGGCAGCAGAGCATTCCCACTGGGAAGCAGGTACCCTCCACCAACAAGCACAAACAGCAATATGTGCCCCAAGGGGGTCAAAGAAATGACCGCTGTTTGTATGTTGATACATTGACACTTTCCATACTGCATTTTCCAGGAAAATCTTATCTCCCAGCCCAGATAAATTAAATTATGTGTATGAGACAACTTCTATTAATAAGTGAACTTTGCTCTTTTGTAAGGAAGATTTCAATTTCATGTTGCCATTTTTACTCTAAGTATATTTGCAAACATCAGGATCAACTACCTCAGCCCACTTGGATACATCATCATTGTTAAAAACCCCTGAGGTCTTGGGCAGAACAACTTCTTAGATTATCCATAAGTAGACAGACATGGAAAATGCCTGCATATAAGTTCCTCTTCAAAAGCATTATTTTAATCTATTTTCATTAAAAATTTAGAGAAGATATTTGTGGTACTTTTTATTCAGAAGTTTGAAATACCTCCTTTAGAACAAACCTCCTTTTTCTCCTTTTTGCTGAAAGTAGGTAATTTGAAGAACTCTAGAGAACATGTTTTAAGAAAAATGCAAAAGCACTATAACGCTTTCCAAACGGGCACAAGTGAGAGAAAATGTAGGTTTTGATGTGAGAGAGTGGACTACTTCAAGAAGACAGAACATCTTCTTGCACAACAAGGCATTCTGTTTTATTGTAATAGTGGCACTATTTTGCATCTTTTTCTCTCCAACTCAAGAGCATATTTTTGAAAAAATAATCTTTCAAAGCACTTGTCTCCCCTTTCAACCACACTACTGGGAAGCCACATACCTATGCAGAAGCTCTCTAACCTCTCTCACAAGTGAGAAACCTCAGAGCTAAGGCTTCAGCAGGAGGGGCTCCAACAAAAGGGAAGTATCAAACTAGAAATATGCATGTTTACAAGTACCAAGTTTTAATTCCTCATGGCAATTGTGCAAGGCCAAACAAATTCAAGAGAGAATGGAAAGGCACTTGCAAGGAGATCTAATTTATGTGAGAACATTTTAGCAGGTTACTTGTACACCTATTTACATGGGACTGTTCCTGTCTTTATCAAGTGTATTAAAGAAAAGCCCATTAACTTGCCATTGTTTAAAACACATGGCCATGCATGCGTTTGACAGCACTGTATACCATAAGGTACAGTAAAAAAAATAAAAAGCCAAAAAACAAACAGATCAAGATGTCACAATAATTAAGATATTGACCCATTAAACTAAATTTCACTTAACCTGGGGCTATGCAATAAGTAGGCAGTGATTGAAAGTTCTTACGTACCCACAGAGCTCTTGTATGGCCAAATTACCCTCTGTTCTCAAGAGAGCAAATTTGCTGTGATGATTCACATCCTGTTTTGGATCGACAAACACCAGTGCTTCCTCCTAACTGTATGTGGTAATTTCTTAAGCAAAATACCATTCTCTAGTACAATTTGCTTTTTTTTATTTCATTCTGACCAGAGTGTGAAACAAAAAGCTGAACAAAATTTCCACACTGCTCTGGAAAGAGAGGCTATTGCACTGTGCTCAGTAAAGCGGTCAGAAAAAAGGGGCATTAAATAACAACAATGGACCTCAGAGAAATTAACTGTATCTCTTTATTGTTAACCAATGAATGTTATCCAAAATAGTAGATGTAATTGTAGCTTAATTGTACAACACAAAACATGATGCTAAAAGAAAAAGCATGTGGAAAATTACTTCACCGAGTAATCATTAGATGTATTCTTAGTATTTCTGCACCAGAAAGTGTTCCCAGCTGCTGGTGACAGCAGCTATTACCACTTTGTTCATTGTGAAAACCTGTATTACAAATGGTTTTTCCTGGTTGTTCGAATTAAAAAAAAAAAAAATCACACAGCTTTATAAATGGATCAAATCCATTCAGTCCTACTCTACATGTTGTAGATTTATGAACAACAATCTTTACTGGTATTTTTTCCAAACACTGAAACGGATGGATCAGTGTTAGTGCACACTTTTCAGGGAAAAATGAAAACTCACTGGAAGCACAGTATTTCACCTGCCATGCCAAACTGTTCAAATACTTCAGAAATTTGCTTAAGCTTCGGTGTATGAAGCCTGTGAAACAAAAACTGTTCTTACAATGCACTGCAAGTTGAAACACCAACTTCCACCAAGCATTTTAAACCATGTGCACAGCATCTGCACATCAGTCTTCAAGGTCAAGCAGATATGTTTAGCCCCACAAACCAAAAATATATTAATGTATCTTTATTTAATTTTCATGATGTCACCCCACATAGCCAAACTTTTATTCTGCAAAATAAAAAAACAAACTTGGTTGGACTGTTCATGAGAAATTTAGACCTATTGTGCATGAAAAAAATGTTTAATAAAATGGCAAATTTTAATAGATGAGTGTAAATTTATGAGTGCATAATATCAAACAGAAAAAAAGCTGAACCATCCTCAGAGAAACCTAGGTTCTTCCACTGTTGATATTTACTAGGGTACTCTAACACAGGGTGTAACTGAAGTCCACACTAACTGTAAAGTTATTACTAAAGTTCAATTTCTACGCAAATTTCTCAAAAGAGCAGGTTTCCTTTTCAAGGGGGAAAGGACTTAATCTGACATCAGATATGACAATTACAATACTAGCTTCATTGAAAACTGAAGCTACAAACACTTTTACTCCAATTCTGGGAAGTTTCGTTTTGTATTTGAAACCCAAACTGACTGACACACACATTCTACACCCCTCCCAGAATATAATATACCAGTGACAGGTTACAGCTTTAAAACACACCAGATGCTTTTACAATTTAAACTCAACAGAAGGCAGTTAGACAGTACTTAGCATTATAAATCCATAATAAAGTAAAATAAAATCCTAGGAGTAAGGGCTCCTAACAATCTTTGATGTTACTGTGTAGTGACAGTCAATTTAAACAGTTATTTTCATGGTGTTTGAAGGACCAGTCATCATGTACATAGTAGTGAGGTAGGATACTGTCCCCTCCCTGGGACTGATGTTTTCATATGCTCCCTTGCCAGAAAGGTCCAGGTCTCCCTACTGCAAATAAAATAATTACAAGCAAATAGCACATTAAGCTTTGTTTATTTTTCCCCTCTTTGCTGCGTTGGAACATTTTGCACATCTAAAAGAATCAGCTAGGAAAAGCAATACTTACTCAAGCCTATCAGCAGCCATGTGCTGCCCACAGGTAGTGTTCCATTTAAAAACATATCCTGGAACTACCACCTGCCATCCAGACCTTTGTGAACAGGTAGGCAAAGAAAACCATCAATGATGACAGGACATGAAACACCAAAGAATTTCACTTGGGGAAAAAAATAATAAAAACCACAAACACAAAACCTTTTGCACATCTAAAAGAATCAGCTAGGAAAAGCAATACTTACTCAAGCCTATCAGCAGCCATGTGCTGCCCACAGGTAGTGTTCCATTTAAAAACATATCCTGGAACTACCACCTGCCATCCAGACCTTTGTGAACAGGTAGGCAAAGAAAACCATCAATGATGACAGGACATGAAACACCAAAGAATTTCACTTGGGGAAAAAAATAATAAAAACCACAAACACAAACCCCCCCAAAATAAAACAAGAAAAAAAAAAAACACAACCAAAACTGAAAGTGAGCAGTATTAAACTCTTAATGGAGTAGCTACATTGAAAACTAATTTCAAACTTTATACTGAAATAGTACCTATCCAGTTTAGGTACAATTCCATTTTTCTTTCTATTTTTTAATGTTTACGCAATATATACACTTGTCAGTCATTAAATACTTCACATCTGTTTCCAAAGTGGGGAAAAAACCCAAACAAACAATGGAACTGAAAACACAAAGGGGAAAAACCTGCTCTTAACCTCCACACACTCCCCCCACCCAAAACCTAGGGTTAACAGACTGCCTTACTGTTGAATAGCTTCCCCTAAATTTGTCTTCTAGTCACTGTAGTCAACCTGGTATTAAGTGCTTTGGCAAAGTGGGGTGCAATCCATCAAATCTGCAAAGGCCTGCTTTTTTTCTCTGTTGGTGGTTCAGCTTTACGAGGAACATATATGCAAAATACCAGCTCTCACATTGCTTCAAACTCATCAATACGCTGCTTTGTATTGCCTTGTCGGATTTGCCGGAGAGTCTTGTACTTATCGCGGCCTGCTTTTACATTCTCAGCATGAAGGACATCATTTTGTGTTTTCTTGGTTTCATCTCTGGCTTGGGCCAACTCTGAACTTAAAGCCTGTTGAATAAAATATTTGAATTTAAGTGCTTTGATTAATCCTTTAACAGTTCTGGAGTTTCTGATAACAACTATTCTGCAATCTGGGTAAGAATTTCTTGAATGCCAACCTATGGAATGCTTGTTGTGCTCCTCAGTAACTCAAGTTGTGACGTCTATCAGAAGGAATGCAGAAGGAAAGATAAAGAGAGCATAGGATTCTTTCCTTACATGATTGTAAACATCAAACTATATTTAAAAAAAAGCCTCATACACCATAAAATCCAAGCAGAAAGAGACCAGGAGGATAAAGCAGGAAAACCACCTTACATTTCAATTTTTCTGTAACTAAAGACTTATCTCCCTCATCTGGTCACTGACTGACCAAGCAAGAATACTACACAAGCTACTAAGACAATGCTGCCAGACAAAGTGGCAGCTTTCCTTTTCTTCTATTTTCTTCCCAAATAAATAGTTTGTAACCAGGAAAAGGGCTACCACTGTTAAAGATTATTATGCTTCGAGGGATAAGACTTGGCCTGGGAGGAGTTGCTCAGTTTTAGGGAAATAAGAATAATCCAAAATGCAAAAACTCAAATTACACCCATTTACAATACCTATGAGTGACTGCAAACAAACATAAATACTACCAAGCAAGCATCTGTTCATACCACTTAATTAGTTTTGGTATTGAAAAATGAAAGCATTATGTTTTAACTGCAGAGTTCTGGAAATGATGTAATTATTAGAAACATTTACTGGCCAATGCAACAGCATACTTACACTTTAAAGCTATAAAGCACAATCCTACATTCAATCTTGCTATATACTCCATTTTTAGAACACTATGAACGATATTGGTTGGTAAACTGGCAATAAACCTAATAAATTATAAAGAAGCCGTTTCCTTGGCAGACCATAACATCAGTGAAATTTCTTACAAAAGAAGGATGAAATCCCAAAGCCTGAATTGTGCTCATACAGCTAAGAATCTTCATTACCTGGAGCTGTTTCTTAACACGTTCATTTTTCTGTGTTTCTGTTACCCGTTCTTCCTCACTCCTGTGATTCATGACACCATCAGAAGACAGTTCTGCACTGGCTTCAGCATTGTTCTCATCATGTTCATCGTGTTCATTCTCTGTTGGAGGAATAACTGGTGGGGGTGGAGGTGGAGGAGGAGCAGACATCACAGATTTCAGTTCTTCTTTGGTCTTTTCCAAGTCCTCTTGGGCTGCAAAAGCCTAAATACAGTAAACAGTACTTAGCATCTTTTAAAATGACTTTTCAAGAGTCAGCAAAATAAAAATTTGAGATGTTCTCAGACACACTAAACTGTTCTTTATAACTGATATGACTAGCTTACACACTGAAAATTGTCAAATAGAGACATAGAGTAAAAACCACCAGATATGGCTCAAAATAAGCTGTACTAGGGTCCAGCTATTTCCAGCAGTAAACAAAAGACTAAAGGAATGGGCAATCATACCAATTGTTTTCCAACTTTCCTTTTAAGGAGGCTAATTTAAGGCTCTGGGATTTCCTAGATCAAAGGTGATGACTTCAAATTTCATACTTAACCAGAACTTAAGAAAATTTGTTCAAACCCTTTTGGAAACCATGCACAGTAAGTATTCACACCATAGCTAATTATAGATTTTATGAAGAGATACTATTCTGCTTTAAGTTTTTGCCCAGCTGCATTTCACATGCCTTTGTTAACTGTTTTGGTTCAGCTTTCCATCAAATCTCACACCACCCTCCTGAGGTGTTTTCCTCTCTATTACAAAGCTCCAATCTATTTCACCATCACACAAAAGGAAGCAATTTCTAATCTTTGACCATACCTTTGTGATGAGAATGTTCCCCCCCTTCATGATTATGTAATATGCAAGACATGAATTAAACAGAAGCATAGGCTGGCTTCAGTAGACTGGAGGACAAAAACCTTTAAGACTTTTCTGAAGCCTAACAGAAAGAGAGATTTGACCCCAAGGACTTCTAGTGAAATTTCCACACTCATTTCCCTTAGCCTCTTTGAAGTTCTGACTTCACACAGCATGGACTCATTACTTTGTGCTGCCATTCTGAAGCTTCCTCTTCTTTCTTTTTCTTGGCCTCCTCTAGAAGTGCAATCTTGGCTGTGAATTCAGCAATTTCTGCTGCCTGAAACAAACCAAAGAACAAAGAAGTTTTAATTTGGTATCAGTCTGGCTTTGCAGTGGAAGAAAGCAGAGCCTTTGCTATGATCCAGCTTGAAAAGAGTTAGTTACCATCCACCAGTTCTCTGTGAAAAATAGAAATTTTAAGCACACATGACAGAGGGAATGAATCAGACTACTCTTGCCTAATGGAAATACATCCAGAAAAAAAAATATTTCTCTTCTGCACTTCCAAAGCTTGCTGGAAAACAGCAAGCTGTCATTACAAACTAGCATTTCAGGCTGTTTCATTCTAATACAACTTTAATGGTCCCACCATTAAGATTATGATTCTGGATCATAATCTCAGTACTTTTAAACTAAATCTTGTCATCAGAATTATGAGCCAAGTTTACAGAAGATCAAAATATCAAAAGCTCATTTATAGTTGAGAAATAATTTCTTCTGTTTTCATGCCTTTCTTGATTATTATGCACAAATCCTGAATTAGAAGTAGTCTACCACAATGTGAGAAGACACTGCAAATACTGACAATGGGAGAGGAAAAGCAACAAAAAAAACCGCAAAAAATAGCAGTGTCACCAACTCTCCACCACCACCACCAAGCTTCAGAACAAACCTGCCTCAGAGAACAAGCTTCCCAGAGGGCTGCAGAAGGAAGCTACTCTTGTTCTCAGCTGAATAAGCCTGAGACTATTAGAAAGAGAATGTAATGAGTGTTGTCAGTCTGAAAGGTGGTGGTCTTTTAATCTCCTACAGATCCAGAGTTTTATTTTTGCCTTGCAAAGTAGTGGCAAGCCTAATGCAGTTTTCTAACAGTTCCCACAACACTCTGTAACAGTATCTAAAGTACCTTTGTGTTTCAACGTACTTCTTCATTTGACACAATCAAGGGCAAAGGCTAAGTTTTCAACTGTCTTTTCCAATTTTAATCCTATTTTGAGGAAAAAAGGTTTCTTACTAGCTGCTCCTGGTTCTTCATTTGATCAGCTGCCTGCTTGGCTAGAGCAGCTTTGGCTACTTCAGCTGCTCGACGTTCCTTTTCCAGGCGTTCTGCTTCCTCTTTCGCACGCTTCCGTTCTTGATCCAGTTCTAGAGCTCTTCGAGTCTGCTCCTCTAGCTCTGCCAAAAGGAGTTTGCAGACAAGGTATCACTACCTAGCTCTTCCTCATACGTATCACAGATACCAGCTGTAATATGCCCAAAATAAAGTAACCTAGAACACTAACTAAGATTCACAAGATCACCTCAAGCTAAGAAAAGCTGTCGAGCATGTTACCCCATTCCATGTCTGGTTTCCCCCCATTTTAAGACGTTCCTTGGATATCCTTCATCTCACCAGACATTTCTGAAAGCCTTGTGTTTCAGAAAAGTGTCACCTCACTGATAGAACTACACACCAAATACATGTACACATACATGCATGTGGTCCTGCCATAAGGATATTTCATGTACATTAAATCACTCTTTTAAAGAAAGTAAAGAAACTCTTCTTCTTTATTGAAATGCCTGTCAGATTTCTTAATCACAGCTGAAAGTTTAGGCACATGCCTCCAGCAAAATGACTTAAGACCCACTGGAAGGGTCAGAAAAATTCTTTATATATCAGAGGAGGAAAATTTTAAATCAAGGGAGAGATAATAGCTGTCCAGCTGCCTGCATAGCAAAATATTGAAATCTAAGGGCAGAACCCTTAGTGAAACAGGAAGAAGTAATAATCTAGGAGTACTGCAAGGTTAGGTTTACACAGACAAAATTATACGCCTCCCCTGATGAGAAAAACGAGGTGACTATGAAAAAAGTCTTTCTAAAGCTCTTTGCTGGTTCTAATGATAAAATTTCCTTCACCAAATTGTGCCTTCACCACAAGCTTTAATACCACAAAAGCACCTCCCCAGGTATGCTGACACATGCTTCATCTTTGTACTTCTAGTGTTAAGTAATAATGTAACCATTATTCTTCAGTTGGTTTCCCAGGCCAACTATTACCTAGGTTATAAAATTAAATGAACAGCATTGCAAGTATGTGGGGTTCTACAAATACAGTACCTAGAATTAAATAAAACAAAGCTATTTAAAAACACAAACAAATCTTCCTATGAAGATGGAGAACACAAAACTAACCCAGATCATCTATATAAAAACTTTTCCATGTGTGCATAGAAGGCTAAAAAGAGCAGCAACACACGAACATTTTGTATTGCACCAGAAATAAGGCTATATTGCTCACAAAGTTAGGAGAAAATGTGTAGTCAAACCTCCAGAATCACTCTGACACTGTTTTGTCCTGAGCCAAATAGCTCTCCCTAAACAATTCCACGGCACAGTTAGTGTGTTACCTGTCTGGATGTGTCCAACCTGTTGTGCATTGAAAGACTGAAAAACGCAGGGGTAGAGCTCGAGAGCAGTGCCAGACATATGTAATTTATGTAATTTATTTGCATAGAGTGATTCTCTCTATGATGCTGGAAGCCAAGAGTTAGGAAAAGAAAGGAGCGACAAAACTGTTATGAATGTGAACCAAACTTGAAGTAGGGGAAAAAGAAAAAAAAAAGAGAACATGGAGAGGAAGGACTAGGAAGTCATGGAGGCAGGGACTCTACAGGGTGATTAAATACAAAGAACTGTGATTGGTGAAACTACATGTTTTGTCACTCATGTCTGACAATTTCTCAACTCTTACAAGGGAATAGGAAAGGAGGAAGGAACAAGGAATTTCCAAATTAAAAGCTAAATTAAAAAAAATCCTAGAGAAAGTACTTTGAATCTTTCCCTCTAATTTCCCTGCTCCCTTCAACTCCAGGTGTTCAGCACTTTAAGCATTTCATAATTCTGAGTTGAACTGTGTATGCATTAATTTTCTTTTTTACTAAATCAAAACCTTTTCTACCTTAGAAATTGGTTTCATATTAAAAAGATACAGGCAAAACCATGCACACCATCATTTAAACACTGAAAAATAGTATCTCTCATATCAAATAAAACACCACTAAATTCTTGCCACTATTAGTAAAATAAACAGCACCCTCAAAGTAACAAAAGACACGGACATACAAAAAGAATTGTAAACTAAACACTGTCACTAGATTTAAGAAATCTGTGACCTCACCTTTCTGAGCTTTCATTGTTTGCTCTTCAATTTGTCTTAGGCGCTCCATTAATTCCTCCTTTTCACGCTCTATTCTTTCCTTTTCCTTTTCTGCTATCTCCCTTTTTTTCTTCTCATTTTCTAATTGTGCTCTGAAAAAAATAGTGAAAAGGGTTTTTTTTACTCTCCAGCATATTAAATGATATTCTTTGGATGCAGGTAGCCAATTTTTCAATTTACTCAGCTAGCAAGGAAGGACAATTTTAAATGCTTCTAATCCTGTTTCTGCTTCAAAATACTGTAGAGAAGAACAATTTATGTACAGTACTGATAATCAACCTTGGTTTTGGTTCAGCCAGGTAAATCCACAATTATATCTGCATTTTAGGCATTATGTTTCATCTGGGCTAGAAATAGTATATTTTAAATACACGAAATATAAGCCAGGACATTCTTCACTGAACTTGCTTTAAGGGTTCACCATAGAGTATAAAATTCCCTAAGAATCAAGCAACAGAGAGGTAAGACTTGCACAAAATACATAGTGGGGAACAACAGTGCAGCTACTATTACTGTGCTGAAAGCCTAAAAAAGATACGTTTTTATATTAAGACAGGGGAGCCATGCCGATTCACAAACCTGCTTACACAGTACAGAAAGAAAAGCGGTTCTCTCTTTTCTAGAATTCTAAGATATACTATATTCTATGACTTGTTAAAAAGGCAGAATTTTTTTTTTTGTTTCATGGAAGTTTGTTAATTACCTTTCCAATTGTTTCTGATGTTTCTCTTCTCTAGCTTGGGCCTTCATCTGTTGCACTTCAATTGTATCAGGTTTCCTCCGCCTCATGTACAATTCATGATTTCCCATACACAGTGCCAAAATTCGCTTGTTAATTCTCAGACGGGGTGCATAAAAAACAAAATCCTAGGAAAAAAAGTAATTCCAGTATAGCTATTAACCTAAAAAAATACACTTAGGATTCAAAGCATTATTGCATTCTTGCATTTGTTAAATTAAAACTTACAAATATTATGATATTTTGAGTAAGTGAACACCATAATCTATAAGCCTACTTACTGTCAGAGACTTGTAAGATAAATTCAAAATTGCACCTTGAATACTCCAGAAATTAGCTGGTTTATTTTTTTTTTCTTTCAAAAATGGGACTATTCTCTACTCTACTCAGAAGTCATTTGACCTAGAAATTATAATGAAATGTGCTGTTGTAATTAAAAAAAAAAGCAAAAAGAAAAACAGAGGAGGAAAGAGGAAGAGAATTCAGCATCTTATGCTGTCTTTTCAATGCATCACAAAGTATTGGTTGACTTAAAACCCCTCAACAATTTAGAAGTATCAGTGAGAAGGAAAAGAGAGAAAATAAACACACATATTTCAAAATGAACATTTTGTTTTGATTACTGACTATTCCATCAGTAAAAATAATAAATGTCACCAATATTACATGCCTTAATGCCAAAGCAAGTCCCTACAGGCTTAAATCCCTTCATATCGCAAGTGATACTACTGTACACACTACTTACAGGGGCCTTTTTGTCAATTGGCTTAATGACAAATTTTTTGTCATTGAAAGAGATGTTTCTTATTTCGCTCCAAGGAAAACCAATCTTGGGTGTCAGCCTTCAGAGAGAAAAAGTTCTCATTAGAGGCAGCAAGGATGTGCACCTTATATATATATATATGCGAGTTCAATAAGGCTTATGACTGCACCATTCTCGCTATCACACTTAGCAACATTTAGAATATTACAACATCATGTTTTAATGTAAACATTAGCAACAGTTCAAGTATATTTTGGTAGATTTTTCTTTTGATAAATATTCCATCAAATTAATTACATTTTAATAAATTACATAGCATTGTAACAATAGAAATTTTGATTTGTGATTTATTCTACTACTATTACCTAGATGCTAAACATAGCAATCATTTACTCATTCCTTTTATGGCATTGGTAACTCTATTTTCACTTGAAAGAGTAACTATTGAAATGTGAGAAATTGCCATTCCAAATACTGAAATTAAAGTAACTTCCAGTCATGTTGTACTTCTGTTTAGCTTAGATGTGTTCTTACGTTTACAGAATTCAAGTTAAATTTATTTCCCTTGCATCTTAAGCAAAACACATTAAATTCACAAATTGTTACAATGTTATGCATCAACCACATAACAGTAAATATTTTTCTGTCAGCACAATTTTTTTTCAATTCATATTATCTTAATTATAAATATCAGAAAATATTTAAGTATTTGATTGCTAACTATCAGGAGACAGGAAATACCAAAAAAATTGCCTCATAGCTCAATCTGATCTGAATATTTTGAATATTTCCTGCTTTCAGGAGTTATATTGCCATCTAATGGCAATTAATGCTTACAGAATTTTGTTAAGAGTATATACATTTAAAGTTGACTGCTCCCATCTGGAATCTGACATATCACATGTAACTTCAAATCACTGTGAATGGTCTGTTGACATGAGATACTACTAACAAGTGCTCATAAAGAAAGAAAAGAGCAAGTCTGTTGTTCTATTTCCAAATTCTTCATATTTCCTACATTTCAGCTCTTCCCTCTTCAAGTAGAAGAGATGATTTGATCTCTTTACCAGGACACATGAATGATCTATTTTCTTTGGTGTCTCAAAGGTTTCACTTTTAAATATCTAGGTTTTTAAAGCCCCAACATCTACAATCCTTGTTATGGCTCTTACAAATGTTTCTCATTAAGTACATTGTTCAGCTTTAAAATGTCCTTTTATCCTGACCCAAGGGAATGTTTTGAATGAAAAGTACAGGAAAAAATCATATAAAGATGGTCTAGCTGTAGTAATCCATATAAAGCAATGTAAATTTAAACTTCCATAGAACTGCTCTTCCTTTCCCTTCTTCTGCATCCCTTATCTTGAAAATTCAAACATTCTGGCAGTTAACTTCTCTCTCTCTTTCTCTACCTCTTAGATTACAAGGAGAACCTGTTTTGCCAGATCCTACTGAACATGCAGCAAGGTGGGGGTTGTACAATCTCAGATAGCAACTCCTAGGACAGAACTGCAAAATGAGTATTTCCCACTTACTTATCATCGTGCTCATAAATATTCAGACCCAAAGCATCAACTCCTAGCCACAATTCAGTTCCTTTTTTATTCTTTATTTCAAAATAGTTGACTCCGTACATTTCCAAGTCTTGTGCTATCTTAAGGTATTCCATCATAGAATCTTCCCTGATGAAGAAGAAAAATTGGTACAGTTTAGACAGCAAATCATAAGTACATTGTAAGGATAAGGGAACTGCACAAACAGCTAGGGTAAAATTAGTTATGAATTAAATCTCTCTCTAAAATAGTTTGATCAGATGTTTTTAAGAGCTCTTCACTCTAATATGCATGTAGAGTCCAATCATTGCACTGTCTTTCTGCCCCATGAGCTAAGCAAATACTAAATGTATTTTAGAGGCAGGCAAGTGTGGACAAAAGCAGGTGACAGCCTTAGCAGAAATCATATAGGTAAACCCAACAACCTAACTGGAAACTCAACTCTCATGGAAGTCTTTCATAACTACCTACCTTGGTCAGAATAAAAGAAAGCCACTTCCCAAACAAATACCTCCCCACATACACCCTAATAATAAAGAAAGGTGTTGTGAACATTTTTTACATAATTACCTTAACATTCCCCTGTGCTCTTCATGCCAGTTCTGTATTCTTTCTTCCCACTGTTCTTTTGTCAGTTTGTGCTGTTCTAACACGCTGTGAATAGAAATTGTTGCTCTTAAATGACACTGACAACAAACTTAACCTCTTTTGTTGCACAGCACAACATATGCTTTAACTGAATAAACTTAAAAGATGACTTCCTACATACTGCTCATATTTTCAGCCCAGAAACAAAAGCTTTGTATTTCAACAAATTCCCTTCTAATTTGTATTTCCAAATTCCCACAATAAAATTTTAGTGTGACCTTCACACTAAAATAGTGTGAAAATAACTTCTTTTTTCTTGGTATTCTATATCCTTTATAATATAAAAGTCACACCATTGCATACCTCAGCTAAGTCATAAAATATAATGTTTACAACAGCTGAAAATGCACATCTATAGAATCCTCTGACAATAATGCTAAATATTAATCTCTAGGCATGCAAAGCTTTCATTCTGCTGTCATTTGAAAGAAAAGGTAAGACATTACAATGCTAGCAGACAACCTCGTTGAGGGGTTTTTTTGTGGTTTTCTTTTGGTTTTTTGTTTTTTTTTTTTATTTTTCATTTATGAATAAAATCAATTGGGAAGCAGCTTCAGAAAGCTCTTTCATGTTTAATCTACAAGAGGCTGCAATAATGGAATTATATCTTGGCCTACTAGAACTTTCAGTGTAGTACTACAGTAAGAAATCAAATGCATATGATGACTTTATTATGCTTTCATTCCATGCACCCAGCATTTCAGGTGTTTCTAGAGAAGCTGTGTTAAAGGACAATTAAGAGATCATCTGAGTATTTGTCTACTGAAACGGAACACCTTAAGTATATGAATCTGTATTGTACTTAAGCACTGCAATGTATTTTATTTGCAGTACACTTACTTTCAGGAAATCATTGTCATTTAAGTGTGCAAAACCATGAAAACTGAAGAAAAGGAGAGAGTATTAAATTAGTTACTTCTGTATTGGAGTATTTGGATTTTAATTTAGCAGAAGCAGGCCTCCACTAAAATTATTTTGGAGTACGTTGGAAATGTGGAAAATTAAATCTGTGCAGATGCACAGGGACAGGAAAAACATCTCCAGAAACATGTGGCTGTGATGCTTTTTTGTTGAAGTCTAGATCAGGATCTCTAAAATTTTACTAGCAAAAAGAGGAACTCTAAGAAAGCCACCGTTAAATTCATGTTATCACTTAATATTTTATTTATAAAAAAATGTGCTATAGTTAAGTTTATGTGCAGCATTTGGTGCAAAACCCCTCTCACTCACCGCTGGGGGAGAAGCCTGTCATTGGCTAGGTAGCCCAGTTTATGGATCTCCTTACTGTAATCTCCATACTTGGACTGGACAGCATAGGAAGCCAGAAGAACTGCAGTTTCTGGTGGGCAATATATTTCATCATTTAAGATTGACTCTTTGACTTGCAGGAAGAAAAGTCTCTGAGTTATTTCCTGAATTAATTCTTCAGATACATCCTCTGGAAAAAACTTGGCCCTGAACTTAAACTGCAAAGGATTTTCTTTCCGTACATCTTGCTGCGTTACCTGAGCGAGAAGAATAAAGAGAAAAATAAAAAGAGCACTAAATGGTAAATTAAATGTGATTTAATAGTACTTAACTCTTTAGCTCCTCTACACTGAAACCCAGAGCTTCCAGACAGGCCCACTATGGAACTCACTGAAAGGTTCACATTGACAAACAAGTTTGTCAATTTGCATAAACCAGATAATTTTGAAATACTACTTAAAGGCTGCTTAAGAGATTTTTTTTTAATAGGCTTGTGTGAATTTTATTTATCACAATGAAGACCTGGAAACTAAGAAACTGCAAGACATTAAAAAAATCAAAATTATATCCAAGGATTTGCAGGCAGTAATAAATTAGGGTCTTACAATGGCTCTTTAGCAAGAACTACAACACATTTCTTCACTGCGAATATCAAGTTTGATTATTTTAAAAGTCTATCAACTATTGAAATAAATATATGTGCTTTGTTCCTGTCCCTGTGTATCTGTAGCACTACAATGTTCATTGTGGATGAAACAAGACACATACTGGATTTATCACAGAAGAGAAGCAAACATTACGTAAGTGCAGCCAGTGGGACTTGCCCCTAAAACCCACCCAATTTGCCTCCTAATATTGAAGATAAAAAAGGTATTCTTGATTAGGTTGAACTAAAAAACAAGTATCTCCATTCTAAATAGTGACATTAACAACTAAACTGACAGCCAATATTAAAATAAGAAGTGACTATTCAAATTCACAAATACAATTTAAAGTAAAATTACCCACTTCCCAATAACTGGGAGATACAAGGTACTCAATGCCTTTTGGAAAAAGAAATAATATTATCCTACAATCTACCTATCAGATACCTAAGCCAATTATTTTGCCTTTTTTAATGATTCATAGCTGTATGCATACAAATTCCTGAAGCTGAAATACTTCCCGTACACATGCCCAAACTGTAAAACAATTATTCTATTATGTTCTGCTACATGAAAATGGGATAATCATATGAATTCAAGCTTTCTTAATGCATTCATGCATGCATTCCACAGTACTGGAAACTAGCTCCTCAAATTAAATATTGATGCAGCTTTGCATATTCTTTATAACTAATCTAACTTAACACTATTTTGTCATTTAAAGCACACAAAAAGCAAATTTTCAACTAAAATTGAAACCAGCTATAACTCACTTAAGATATTAAATCAGTAAAGCTTATACAATATATTCAAACTGTACACTTGGCTAAATATGAGGGAATTGTTACCTTTTTATTTAGCTTCAGCCAGGTTGAGTAGCCTTTGCTGTCCACATACTGCAGCCCAAAAAACCAGACTTCACGAAGACCAACAGTTTTCACCACCTAAAGATAAATGAGCCATAATCATCAGTAATCACTACAATACATTTAACTGGCATTGTGTAGCTTAATAAAGCCACGTGAACAATTTCAAATGAAATGTAATCAAGTCTTACAAGAACAAAAAAAGATAAAATAATAGCAAAACATCAGGTTCAGAGAACCTCAGAGTTCTAAATAAACTCAAATACTCCAAGCTATCAACTGGAGCATGCAGCCCACTGTGTAGATCAGCACCTGAGGAACAGAAGGCAGTAACAGGACCCTGAGGTTATAAAGCACATCTGGGAAGTGACCTACAGCCCAATGGGGAAGTGAGTACACTTCAACAGAACACAACTGGTAAAATGATAATAAAGAGACTTATTTGTGGACAAGTATAATGTAATGAGGATGAACTGCCTCCTTCAAATAGTTCTGCCATCTTCTAAGAGTTAATGATAAAAGGGGAAAGGATGATCTACCTAATTTAACACTTACATGACTTATACATGACTTTCCTGTAAGATTTCAGACCAGCTCTATCACCAAAAGCCACTAGAGAAGCAGAACTGTCCTTGACTAGAGGAAAGGCTGTTTTATGGATACCCTGCTTAAAAAGATGGATGAAAAACACAATCTGTTTTCATAAATAGAATTGTAGTGTAACCACTAGGGAAGTCCCCCAGGACTTCAAAAAAGGATGAAAGTGATGTGACAAAAATCTGCTGTAAAAATCCATACATAAAGATCTGTGAGTAACATTAAAAGATGAACCTCAATAAAAGATCATATTTAATAAAAGCAAAACACTGTACATAAAAGACAAGAATTTAAATTATGTGAACAAAGTTCTAGCTGTAAAGCAAAGAGGCAAGAAAGCTATTACACTACTATACACATGTATGGTATTCACAAATTTCTAATTCTACATAAGGACTGGTCACATCAACTTATAAAAAAGGATGCTGTAGCAATGGAAATGTTTCAGAAATGTTGAAAAGAATGATCAGTGATTTGGAACATTTTCTGCATAGCTAAGACGATCCAGGGCCACTGACAGAAAAATAAGGAAGGCTATGATACAGGTCTATAAAATTTGCATGGCATGTAGAAGGAAAATAGGGAATGATTGTTCATAATTTCTTATAATGTAAGAATCAAGAGAATCAACAGAAATCATGACATAGCAGGCTCAAAGCAAACAAAAAGAAGCACTTTTACTACAGAGTATAATGAAACTGTGGAGCTGTTTCACAAGTCTTTTGCACAGCAAAAGCATATGTGGATTTAATAAGCAATTAATCAGAAAGGTCCAGCAAAGATTATTAAATGACTGTAAACTCTGGCTCCAAAGATCACGTATGGTAGTACTTACATATGTCCTCAGGTTGGACCATGGTGCCAAGCTGCTTTACTGAAGGCTGTTTTATGGAAGCATTCAGATGCATGTGAAGTAAATAGAATTTTACACATAGATCCTCCTCCATTTTAAAGTAGTACTATCGGGTTGCAAAATTAAGATTTTTAAAATTAGAAAATGTCACAAGATAACTATGCAAACTTACTTCTGCTCCCTTGCATATTTGAATAACCACTTAACCATTCAAGTATGCACCATTTTTCCTCCTTTATCATTTCACCTTCAAACTCCAAAGCACAAAATGGACAATGTTTGTGGATCCAACCTGATTGATGCTTTAAGTGAGCATGGTTATTTCCTCTAGAATTCTCACATCATTTACTTTAGACATAAGAAATGCTTAGAACGGGTGTATGTTACTAGTAAGGTCCCAAGCAGCATTAAATTTGATGCCCCAACTCAGGAATTTCAGACCTGCTGTTTCTTTTGGCACAGATCTCCTATACAACGCTGATCAAACTACTTATGGTTTTATCAGATGACTGAGAATGCTCTTTACTTAGCAGCTGTCCAAGATGAGCCCTCATACCTTATCAGCTCTCTGAGCTGCAGAGAACTGCAGATGCTCAACAGCCCTGCCCATAAGGCATAAGGAGACAAGTGCTTATGCTCACGTCAAAACATTTTGCTCTCAACCCACTAACTATGGCCCCTGAGATGCACATGATTTAAATACAGACAACTGGGTACAGCAATGCAGAGCTACACAAGTTTGCAAAATCAACACTAAAACCAGCAGAATGTACAAATAAGGAAAAAGCATTGCCTACATTGCCTCTCAGCTCAAAGGAAAGAGAAATAACCTTTCTGAAACTTTGTACCAAGATAATACGTACACTTATGCACTGCAGCAGCATGTTAATAAAAAAGTAAGTAGAGAATGAAAAACTTTAGAGTTGGATTCTGGCCCAAAATTCTATTAAGTAGCTTCAGGCAAGTGTTCATCCCATCTGTAAAACAGATTTATCTACCATCACATCCTACAACTTGACTATTAATAGGCAGTAAAAACTTCTTGGAGAAGAAAAGCAACCTGAACAATGTATGTTTGGGCAAATCACAACATACACATAAGACAACCTAACAAGGATTTCATATGGTCACCTTCCACAAGATTGTAGAAAGAAGGCTTTAGAGACATCTGGAAAGGCCCATGGAAAAAGGATAAAGGAAAATTACAACATGAAATAAAGGAGACAACCCTCATATTCCTTCTGAATGGCAGCTACAATCAACCAAAAGCTACTAATGCACAGTGCTAACAAAATAAAACAATTCCCCCACAATTATTAGCAGTGTGTGGAAACATCCCTCACAGGGTTCTTCCTCTCTCAGGAAAGCTACAGATGCTTAACTGGTTGACTAGAGGAGGACAGATCCTCTCCTGCCTATTCTGACCACTGACAGGATAGACAGAGGCACCAATGACAAGTATGTTAGTACACCTTCTAAAATGCAAGTAATCAAATAATTTAAAAAAAAAAAAAAAAAGCTTGTGTAATAAATAAGAAGTTTACTGAGTTTGACAATGGAAGAGAAAAGAGAAAGCCACAGATTTCAAATGCTGCATTCTTGCCTGCTAGCAGATGAAGATGATGAGAACACACATATGGAATGGGAAACAAATCAAGAACTCCAGAAAATGCCACTTAAAAGCCTAGAAGAACACTGGCCGGTAAAAGGTTATTCACCAAAAATGTAGGGCAGCACTAGATAACCTCTCCATGGATTCAGCTGTTATTTTCTGCAAACAATAACCAACCTGCTTGTCATGTTCACCACTTCTGCATAAACCTTGAAGGCCAATCCTTTCAGTAACAGTGCTATTCAATTCTCTTTCTATAGAGAAAGGAGATAACTTTTTGTCTGGAAATTTCATGCTGGTTTCACAATACAGTTCAGCTCTTGATGTTACATGGTGGAACTCACACATGAATTTAAGATCAGGCTAAAACGTGTTTCTCACACACCACTATTCTGGTTGATTTTTCTTGACCTATATTTTTTTTTTATTTAAAACTCCAGAGGTAAGAGTTGGTGAGATGTCAAACACCACACAGAGAACTGAGGAACAAAGAAAAGAGCATGACAGCAAATTCAGAACTGTATCTTTGTCCCCTGTTGGCAAATGCTCCAATTTGGATGAGCCTGATTACCTGGGCACAAGACATTACACAGCAGAATGTCACCCCACCCAACAGTGAGCAGCATAAGATAGCAAAGGCTGGCAAAAGACAAGTAACAGCTTGAACCTTCTATGCCACACAATACCACACTTTTATTTGATGATGATGATGATGATGCTGGTTAGACAAAAAGCAAGGCAGCCTCTTTTTTCAAGAAATCTTTTTAGGAGTCATGAAGTTTATTCCTATGTAGGGACTGAAGACCTAGTTCATAGGTATACCCCTATACTGCTACTGATGTCAGAGAAAAGAGCAGGCAGTCAGTGTTAAAGAGTCAGTCATTTCAAACAAAAACTGCAAAGGTGATTTCATTCATCTAGAAATTCAGTATTAAAACAATAAACAAACATTCTCTTTTCAATTTATATAAAAAGACATTTAATTGACTCTAAAAGGTCAACTAGAAGTTTAAAGAACTTTTTTGATGTGTTACTTTCTCTTAGTACTCATTATTACATAGTTCAAGCATCTACAGTGGAATGGACAGAAACAACTACTAGACATAATTGTTGATCTACTTAAACTATTTTTGAAATGTAATTTCAGATATTTCCACACTTCCTAAATAAAGGCATACATCTTGGATCTAGACAATAAAACATATTTATTGGTATCTTGTTGGAAAATGACACAACACATTGACAAGTTGTGACTATTTTTAAGGTTTCCTGTAACACCCCACAACACAAGTCAAAAACTTGTTTCAAGATTCTGATGACTAACATCACATGAGTGCAAGAACAGCCCTGTTTAAGAAATCGTTCACTTGGTCCATTTGACTGATGTACAACACACCATCAAGAGACAGTGTGCAGTTGTGATAGGTTTGTAGTCTTTTTTTTTTTTTTAACATAAATTCCAAACTGGTTCATAGCTAAAAAAAAAAAAAAGACTACAAACCTAAATTCCAAACTGGTTCATAGGACAACAGTATTTAGTTCTAACATTTGAGAAGTGAAAAACCATCCGACAGTGTCCACTGCTGGAAAGCAATTGTGTTAGCTTTCATTAATGAATTTACTCTCACATACATATTTCTAAAATACGCAATTCTAACAACTATATTGCAGTAGCAACTACAATATTATTAGACATAAAAACCACAATTAATTTCAAAGTAGTTCCATGCACAATTTATCCGAAGCCTCACTGGTAACATATTTAGAGAGCTGTCTTTGAATTCAGTATGTTCCATGAGAAGTAATGAGGCAATTCACACTAACTCAGAGCATAGCTTAGATAACATAAGGAAAAACAATCTGCACATGAGAACACTACCACTTTTTCAGACTACGCCTTAATGACCACAATACTCTTATGTGCTTGTACTCATATATACATAAAGACATTTAAGTTACCTGATCAAAGAGCTGCTTGCCTGTTGTATTGGGCTGGATGGCAAATTCCAACTCTGCATCCATTGTGGTTACTCTGACATTGATCTACAGAATATAAGGAAATATTTAAATCATACTGTAACAGTGTAATGCTTCTATATCCTGTGATTAGCCTGTTAAGAAACAATAAGTTCAATAATTTTAATGGTCATGTGAACACACAGAACACAGCAGTAAGAAAAACAGAAAATTTGAATCTGAAAAAATTCTCATTTTTATTTAGTCTAAAAGCATAATCATCATAGTACTTACCAGAAGGTTGGAAGGTAACTTAGAGAACATAGCTCAAAATTAATTTAATGGGGAAGCTGACATCACTACTGAACAGCTGAAGAACATTGGGATATTCAGCTACTGGGCACTATTTTTCAGAGGGCTTCCCAAATGCATGCAAAAGAAAAAGTTCATGGTCACATATATGTCATTTTAAGGTATTTGTACCTATGAATATAAAAAGACAAGCAGCCTCCTGCTTGCCATCTCTAAAATCAAACAGTTTGATGGTCAAAGTATTTAGGACTGGAGCTTGTACATCTCAGAACAGACAAGAAACCTGTTTTCACCAACAGAAAGGAAAACTACAGCAGTTAGCTCTCCTTAGGGCCAGCCTCCTTCAACTCCCTCACTACAAGACTAAAAAATAGCCACCATTCAATGAACCTCCTTCTCCTGAAAGGAAGGACCATTTTCCAGATGACTCCTGACAATCACTGGGTTTGTTTGTAATAAAACAAGTCAAATACTGCAGGAGATAATTGAAAGCCTTACTTGTAAGTACAACAGTCTTTTCCAATTTTTCTTCATCTGGTACATAGAGAAGTGAGAATTTCCATGAAGCAGAACAAAGTATTAAATGCACAGCACTGTCTTCTCAGTGTTAGAACAGTCCTCCACTCCTACTGCCAGGGTATCAATCATATTTTATTCATCTTTAGTACATAAAAATATAAAGTATTAAAGGTCAAATACACCTTCCTATAAATGCAGAAAAACCAAATTCACACAGATCTATTCTAATTTCTCTCTCCTGTAAATAAAGGGCACAGGAATAAATTAGGACTTGTATTACAGGTTCTTACACTACTTGATCTATGCATGTGAGAACCATTTCCATTAACTATTTCCCTAATATTGCCACCAGGTGGAATACTTTGAGAAGTGATTGTCTGGAAAAGAAGGAAAGACAAAACATGGAAGGGAGATCTAAGGTGGGGAAAAGAAAACTGCAGGGCAGTTTGTCTTCATGCAACAGATGAAGCTTGACCACTGCTCCCTTCAGCATCCAACACGAGAGGGATATAGAAGACAAGAATAGCAGGAGCCTGAGGACCTCTAGGTCATAGACTTGCAAACAAGAATGATAGAGGGGGCTTAGCCAACTTTACTGTGAGTGCAAACACTGATAAAGAATAAGAGTTGAAGACTTTGGAGTAAAAGATAGTTTCATTTTATTGCCAAAAAAAATTTAAAAAATATAGGGCGTGTGTCAGGAAGAGGGAAAAAGATGTTTTCTGTAGATTCTCTCAGTCTCTCTATTTCAATAGAAGAAAAAAAAAACCCTTACAGAATATAATTAATCTAACAAAATAACTAATTTTAAATGCTAGTTCTAACTCACTGCCAGTTACACTAGTTTAAGCATGAGGGATTGCCCCTTAATTACAAAAGATCAACTTTTGAAAACAGTTTTTCTACTTAAAAAAAAAAAAATGAAGCCTTCTTTAGGGCAGCCACAAGTAAGGAAGTTACAAAGAATAAGGCCAAAAAATAATTTTATTAAATACCAAAGTGCTCTGTTATATAACAACACTACTGCCAAAATAAGAAGTGTCACAGATCTACAAAGCACAGCAAGTTCAAAACTAATTGCAGCAGCAAAAACTTCTTATATAAATATCCTTACAAAAAATGTCATCTACAAATGCAAGAAATACTACCCGCAAGTTTATCCTAGACAAGAACTGGAATACTCAAACAGTAAAATAATAGCTGCAATACAGAGACAAACTCAATACAGCTCTAAATTCTGTCTGCTTCTGGATACTACTGCCCCAAAAAACCTAAGTGCTCTAAGAGTACAGAGCTTCTACACCTCCAACAGGTACAAACAGACCTTAAGGGTACCTAGCCACTTATACACATTACAGTAACTGCTTAAGCCTGAAGCATTTCTGTTTATCTTTATTTCCAATGAACAGATCACTCAGCTGCTAATCAGTACACATTCAGTTTTAATAAAAAGTTGCAAATTAAATGATGGCAATGTTAAAACATTACCTTTTGTGATATGAATTATTTAAGAAAAGACAAAAGTTAACACTACAGTTCATTTTCTTTCTGAAGGAATTTGGACTGACTTTGAGTTTTGTCATACAAATACCAGGCTTCTACGAACTTGTAACATTGTTTCACACCTTCAATTATTTCTGGGCACGGAACATAAGAAAGTTACTTTTGTGAAAACCTGAAGAGCCCTGAAGGTCTACTTATCTAATTCAAACCTTGACAACAGAGCACCCTCTCAACAAAAATCAAACCTCTGGTATCAGTTGCATTGTCTGTAAACCAAAGCTAGCAAACCACATTAACAAGAGTCATTGGGGAAATTTCCACATCATAAATACAGCAGGGAATTGAGAAAACAGACAGAGAAAGAAGGTCCAGGAGCTTCAGCAATGGTCAGTCACTCATGTAACCTCTGCTGGGTATATATATAGTTTGAAGCAATGCTCTTGACGTGGGGAAATTATCTGAACCACAAATTATGAGGACGGGCACTCATCTGAACCAACTTTACCACACAAATATGGAAACAGGAAGGAGCTCTTGCAGTGGTGACAAGAGAAACACATAAAGGCTTCCTGTAGCAAGTACTGGAAGGCTACCACTACACATCCCACAACATCCACCAGTGCCTGCTCTTCAAACTTGCTCTCACCAGGATCCCACATCTTTGTTACAGAATGTCACAGCTCCCTTCTTTACAAAGTTCAGCCAATTACTATCTCAAGTTTGCATACTAAATAGAATCACAGTATAGTTTGGCTTGGAAGGGACCTTTAAGGGCATCTAGTTCAACCCCTGTGCAATGAGCACAGACACCTTCCCCTACATCAGGTTGCCCAGAGACACATCCAACCTGACCTTGAACATTTCCAAAGATGGGACATCTACCATCTCTCTAGGCAGTTGTTAGAGTTCCACCTCCTGCATCATAAAAATTTTATTACTTCTATGTAGTTTGAATCTATATTCTTTTAGCTTGAAACCATTAGCCTTGTCCTATTACAACAGGCCCTGGAAAAATGTTTGTCCCCACCTTTCATAAGCTCCCTGAAAGGTCACAATAAGGTCTCCCTGCACCTTCCTCTCCCCCTGGCAGAACAACCCCAACTCTCTCAGCCTTTCATTACACAGAGGGATGCTCCATTCTGGGAACTATTTTTGTGATCCTCTCTAGACTTGTTTCAACAACACCATGTCCTCCCTGTGCTGGGAGCCCAGAGCTGGAGCAGCCCTGCAGGTGGGCTCTGAGCAGAGCAGAGGGGCAGAATCCCCTCCCTGGCCCTGCTGCCCACCACTGGATGCAGCCCAGGGTACGTTTGGCTCTCTGGGCTGTGAGAGCACACTGACAGCTCCTGGCCAGCCTCTCACCCTCCAGCACCCCCAAATCCTTCTCAGCAGAGCTGCTCTCCATCTGCTCATCCCCAGCCTTCGTTGACACAGGGGGATGCCCCAACCCAGGTGCAGCACCTTGCACTTGGCCTTGTTGAACGTCAGGAGATTCACATTGTCCCACTTCTTGAGCTTGTCCACATCCTTGGCATCAGCAGCAGGCTGAGTTTATCTGTATTTTACCAGACTTGCTTCAGAATGATTAAACATGGCCAAAGGAAAGGGAAGAACACACACTAAAGAATTACGCTTTGATTATTCTTTGCCAAGGGAGCAACTGATGTTTTGATAACAAATGTTGCTAATGGGTTATGAGGGTATTTGCCACAGCTCACAAAATACTATTTATAGAAAAATATTCCACAGCAAGTTATCTATTAAATAATTTATCAAAACCAATAAAGAGTACAGTCATTGAAAATATCTGGAATAACAAACACAGATGTGCACTTAATAAAAGCACGCACTTCATAAGGGAATTTTATTTTTATTGCATGCACTCTTTCATCTTTAAGGACTTGAAAAAGTATGTCTACATTTTCTTGTAGTACCTAACTTCAACCCTTCACAATTTATGGGACTATTACACCATTACTACATTAACTACATTACTACATTTGAACCTCTCCTCAAACACAGTCCATGAAATATGCACAAAACCTGTCTGTAAGCTGAATAATCTAAAACTTTCTATTACTGTACTTCAGCCATCCTCTGCAAATATTAGTTATGGCACTTCATCATAAACTCCAAAACTGACTAGGTACCAATACTGAGAAAAAAATCCATTTAAAATAACATTGAAATGGTTTCCACAGGTTTTGCTTTGGTTTAATAAATGCAATACAAATGAGTCATTTGTAAAAGCCACAAAAACCAGTCTGATTCATAAGAAAATTGCATATTGCAAAAAAAAGTTTGTTCAAAGAGCTTCCTCACACTGGTTCAGCCATTTACAATCTCAAGTTTGCATATTAAATCGTGTTAAGAGTAGCAGTGTATTAGTCCCTCTGCTTTACAGACTGCACAGCACTCTCTCCATACCAACATCAAAGTAGATATAGGAAGAGACGAAAAAAAGAGACTTTATGAAGAAGATAAGGTAAAAAGGTAAGGATTAAACAGCATTAGGAACAGAAGGTTACAGAATAATGCCAAACAGATTTTTCTAATAGAAGAATCAAGAAAGCAGTCCTCCAAGCTGAGATCAGTTGTCTATTTATACTACAGAAATAATAAATTCAAGCTATAACTCAAATACTACATTACACAGACTCAAAGATTTTCCTGGATAACAACAGCACTGTAGTAAAAAAAATTTATACACTATTTTGGTTCAACAACCTTACATAAAGTAGTTTGATCTTGCAAATACTAGAATTTTAAACCACAATATTATTCCAGAATTTATTTAATCCTTCTGAATACACAGTATCATAAAATGTTGAACAAACCTAAAAAAAATCCTTTTTAGTCTCAGTAACTTGGATATCTGTCTGTGTTATTCCCCAGTGTAATGCTTGCTTTCTTTCATGCCTTGCAGTCTTGTACAAAAGTGCTGCAAATTATCACCAAAAGCAGATGATAATTTAACTCCTTCTACACCCTATAAATACAGTATTTCAGTCAATTAAATCTAATCTTCTTAGCGTATGAAATGATTAACAGTTATGTAACCCATGAGGTCTAAGTTTAGCTTCTATGTTTCTATTTTCAGTGCAGATCTGTGAGAATGCCATACAGCTGAGAAACATTTTGTATCGATTCTTTTAGGAAGAAAGCACTGAAAATAAGAGTCAACAAATATTCTGTTCTTCAGCAAGCCGAGAACTAAGCATACTGAGAACAGCACTTGCAACAGCTCAAATTTTGATTACAGCAGCAAAGATGTAATTAAACAAAGAAGTCATCAGTTTTATTCTGATGGATCACAACATGCTACATGAAACTAAAATTCACACTGCCAGGCAGAACTGAGAATATTAAGCCTCTTTTAAAAACAACCTATTTGGTTGTGAAATCAAAGTAGATGCTGAGTAACAGTTGAAAAACTGGAAAGCCACTTTGTCACAAACCCAGGCAAAGTGAAGGAGCAGACTTTCTACTGAAGCAATCAAAAATTAAAATGTTTCAATTTTGTATACTTTTCAGTCACATATTACCTTATTATCCCAGGACAATATATAAAGTTGCTTTTACCCTTTCAAAACAGCCTTTTCACCCTGACTATTTAACCTACTAGCCTCTAAGAAAGAAAATCCGAAACACATGACCTTTTACTGCCATGTAGAAGAATCATTCACAGTGGCATGAAACTTATTTCAGACAGACTTCCAAGAAAAATGAAAGATGTTTGCTATAAAATTCCAATACACTAAGACTTTCTACTGGTCTTCATTTACTTTATTTTGTCTGGAATACTATGTAACTTTTCAATGTGGAAAAAAAAAAAAATTAAACCACAATCTATTTAATTGCCTTTCTGTGGTTCAGTCGGTACTGATTTCATTTAAATTGATCTATGGCTTATTTATTTGTTATTTTTGCAATAAAAAAATTAATCCCATAAACCAAATTAATCCCAACTATAAACAACATTTATAGTTGTACTGCACAGGTTTACATATTTACAAGACTACCAGACTTTTCTGAAAACAATCAATTGGATCATCACAGCAGAGTCTGAAAAATGAAAACCTAAATAGGTCTCAGTAATACAGAAGAGATAAAATAACACTGTCAAAAATCTCACCACTTATGTTAACTGGGTTTTCTCAGCTCTTACCCATGATTATTTCATTAGTTTTCAGGTTAAATGATTTCCAGCAATAAAGCTACAGAATGCTGTCTTATTGCAACAGCTGTCAAAAAAAAAGCAACAAGGAGTTAAAGCATAAATAGTTTCTGGACTAGAAGTACATTTGGTTATTGTGGATTGTCCATAAAGATAGCTCCCAAGAGCTCCAGCAAACATCCATAGCAAGAGACCTCCTATTGTCCAGTCCTATCAAATCTGAGCAGAACAGCAAGACTCTTCAAAGAACAACGTCGGATTCATTAAACATAACCGTGGCTAGGCTCTTACAGTCTCCAAAGAAGAAAGAAGGGGGAAAGAAAGAGGAGGGGGAAGGAAGAGAGCTCCCAAGCCATCTGTCATTTAATAAGCAACCAGAACAAAATCTGAGGTTTGATTTGTATAGGTAATACTACTTAACCTTTGCCAAGTGTGCTACTTCTTCATTCACTGATTACCAACTATAATTACAGCAACCTGCAGTTTACAGGAAGACACTGAGAAATGTAATCAATTTCATTTCATTTATAATGGCTCCTTTTGCTTGGCTTCCTTCTAGGATTTCACATGCACCTACATCATCAAGAGATACATGAACTCCTCATAAAAAGTCCCTTATAAAAGAAAAATATTATCTTTGGCACAAGGCCAGCTTCTTTGCCAAGATCTGGTAGCTAATATCCAGTATTAGGGTGGATTGTGCACTCTTTCAACACCACTGCCATCTCAGTTCTAAGGATATTGCTTTCCTTGTGAACAACCCTAAAATTCTTATTTCCTTCAATTTTCTCTGGTCCTTAAAATAGAAAGAACCCTGCCTGCCTAAATTTCATGGTTCCAATCCCAGAATTTAAAAAAGAAGTTACCTCACACAGGCTCTTTTTTTTCCTAGTCATGACCTCTGTGGCTCCATGGGTCTCCAGCTGCATGGAGCTGGTGGCCTCAGAAACTGCATGAGCTCACAATGACTTTTTGCCTCATTCTTAAAACAGTTTTCCAAAACTGAGAAGCTCCACCAAAGGCAGTACTCAATTCTCGTAGCCAGCACTCAAACAGGTCAGAAAATAGTATGCTGCTAATTCACTTTCCTGCCCTTTATAGAGCAGCTTTCTCTCACCAATGAGCAGGATACAGACAGCTACTTCCAGCTGGAGAAAGTGCCAAGATATTGCCTCTAATCCACTGGCAGGAAAAGAAGAAATTACAGAAACAAGGTATGACCAGTTGGTCATCAGACCAACTGCAAAGCTCAGAAAGAACTTCGAGCCCTCAGTCCCATGCTCACATTGTTCATCAAGCTGTACCAGTTCCAAATACAAACAAAAACACACAAAACTGATTATTTACATGGGTAATTTCTTATTAATAGCAAAAACCTTTTATGTATCTACATATCAGGATGTATGTGTATACACACGCACATAGACACATTTATTCTTAGCAATAGACCTGCCCTGCTCCTAATCTGCTACCAAAATGAAACATCAGTAAACAAAGAAAGCCCAAAGGCTATTACATAAACCAACCGAGTTGAGCAGAAATAATCTGACAATTCAGTTCCCTTTCTGAAAGCTTTTCTCACTGGATACAAGTGGAAGAGACAAGCAAAAGCCATTTAACACATGGCAGATGAAATCCTAAGGTAGCAATATAACATTAACAGAAAAAGAATCAACCTATTTAATTATCTCCTCAAAGACTTCTAGAATTATTATCAAAACAGAAGATGGAGATCTTTTCTTTCCCCCTGGGTAGAAAGCGGATGAACCCTTATCTTAGCTGAAAGGAGAAGAACAGGAGAGCACAAACTCTCCTTATTGCCTCCATTCAAATTTACTTTCTATGTGATACCTCTACCATGGTAAAACTACTAACTTAGTGCAGACACTTTACACATGTTCTGTCTTCCCTTGCCAAATCCTGCAGCAAACCCTTCCACCGATTCCCACAGATACTGAGTCAGGCTCAAATTATGCCTTCAATAACTACTGTCAGTCAGCTCATCACAAAGTCAACAATTCCTGAAAAGTCATTCCTTCTGCCAGCCAAATGGGCTTCAAGTACTGCTCCCATTTCCAATTGTCCTCCATGCAATTTGCAGTACACCAAGCTTTCCTGATCTTTCTTTCCACATGTTGGTACTAAACTGGCTCAATTTCAATTGTACATGATCAAATCTTATGAAATCTAGAAAGGGCAGAGTCAAAATAACTGGAACAGTTATAAGATTATCTCTCTAAAATGTAAAAAACCTTCCTAGATTTTAAATGAATATAAATCTGCTACTTACTGGTTTCGGCATTTTTCTTGTTTTCTGTAGTCTCCTGTCCAATTAAATCTTCCAAAAACTCTTTGCCCCCTTCTGCCAAAAATAAAATTAAAAGGATTGTTTTTAAATTAATCAATAATCACAGTAAATAGTACAAATTCCTATACAAGTATGCAAGTGCTCTACACGTACAAAATACACTTCTCAGTAGGTGACATATAGAAAGAGCAACTAATTTAGCCAGAGTCAGAATCTACAAGTCTCTAAGCAGTAACATCCTTCCTACTTTCTGGAGAGCATTTATGCAGTAATGTTACAATAAAGAGACAAGAGTTCCCCAAGTGCTACAAATTCTTTTAAAGGTTCTGTTATCATACATCATCGACTATTAAAAACCTCTAACATTATTTACAAGAAACATCATGAAGACAAAAATCCCACTCTAATAATTTTAAAGCATCAAAACTTTTATTTCCTGCCTATAAAATAATTTGTTTCTCTCAGCAAAGGAATTACAGTAATTTTCCCAAATGAAAAGAAATGCAAATACACCAATGGAAAAAAAAGGAAGAAATTCTGCTGTGCTTAAAATAACATATAACATAAAAAGAAAAAATGAGATTTTTTTCTTTTTAAGCAGAAGGCTATAAGTTATATCTATGTGGTGATGAAAGTATTCAATATTGTTTTCTACTCCAAAAAAAGTTTTTACGCCTTGAAAAAATATGCTTGCAAAGTTATTGGGAGATATCATCCTACCTCCTTTTCAACTCCTTCTAACTTAGAGCAAGCAGCTAGTCACCTTCCTGCACACATTTACAGTAATGACTTCCACAAATCAGACTGTTGCTGGTTTGCAAGGAGCATCAAAGACTGCATTGCCTTCAAAAATAATATTAACTGGATTATACTTATGCTAAGAAAAATTACTGACATGCTAGCCAGAATAATCTGAGATTTCATTATTATATCCCCACAGCTGCAACAGAAGAATAAAATCTTCAGAAGTGCTTAAAAGAAAGCAAGAGAAAAACAGAATACTTGCGAGCAATCCAGTTATGAAAAACAAGCTTTTGTATAACTGATCTTTCATTCAGAAAGAAAAATGAAAAAATAAAGTATTTTTTACCAAAAAAATTACAGAAGAAAATTTTCCTTGTTTCTTGGCAATAAAAATACAGTAAATATTAAAAACATTTGCACAGCAATTTAAGGTGTGCTAACACTTTATTCTTTATTTCTTCTTCAAATCTGTAGAGATATGTTTGAAAACAGACTAAAAAAAAAACAGGTAAAGGATGAAAACAGAATTTAAGAAGCATAATTGTTGTTGGCTGGTAAAGAAAACAAATGTTAAGACTAATAATTACAGAAACAGAGATTTAATAGCATAATTCAGATATGGAACAAAACTGTGTTTAATGAAAAGTCAGCCTGAAAACACTAAAACACTACCTTGAAATTGCATTCATTACAATATAACTAATCCAGCCCAACTCTAAAGGTATAGTAATACTCTGCTTGCCTAGCATAAAGATAATTACATTCCATTAGATTTTTTTAATTACAGAAGATACTCTAGAGAACTGGACAGTACCAGTCATGTCCCAAATGCAGGCTCACTGCCTGATGTGCAGTGCCAATTTGCGCACTGAGCCAAGGCATTTCCATTTCTTTATTCTGATCTGCTCAGAGCAGGGAGCTGGGTGGGAACCCACCAAAGGCTGGCACCCCAATCATCCAAACTTCACACCTTTCATACATTTTAGCAAGCAAAGAAGTCACGTTTTAGTGGCTACAGGTCACATGGCTTTCTTCTTGATCAACGTTCGACCTTTTACTGGTTCAATGATTCTCTCACTTCTGCCAATCACAGCACATGCTCAGCCATTCCCCTCTGGAGTCGTGGGCTTAGGGAGTCACTGGGCCCTGAGCTGTGGGCACAGTCACCTCCTGCCAGAATTACCTTTTCTCCACTTGGAGCTGATTCAGCACAGTTGCTGAGGTGGCTTTGTTTCTTTCTTCCATATCTTGGAAGTTCTGACAAATGTCCTTGTGGCTCGTGAATTCTGCATTCCCTGTGCCCACTATCAATGGAACATCCTTCTTCCAAACTTTGCTAACTTTTCCTGGGTCTGAGATGATTGAAGAATGTCAGTAGAAAGCCTTTTACAAGGCTTTCTACTGACAAGTCATTTCTCTTTCTAACACCTGGACATCAGCAGTAAGACTACTGTTCTAAGATACTGTTAAATATATCCTTGAACATTATGAATACACTTTTCCTCTATTCCTCACCCCTGCTTTTAACCACAAAAGCTTCCTAGGGAGGAAGAAAAAATTGGTTTTGATAAACCCTGGCTTTTGATAAAAATTCAACAGCATGTTTCCCTTTCAGAGAAGAGACTGCCTCCTCTTCTCCCTTCTTTCCCTAATGTACACCTTGGAAAAATTCAAGGGAATAACAGAAAGCAAAACAAGCTTGGCTCTAATATCTGCTAACAGTTAGCAGGACTCCGAGCTGTAGTAATCCCAGTGCTCACCTCTGACAGCAAAGGCTCAATGCTTGAAAAACTGAAGGCAGATTGAAGCCCTAGAGTTACACTCCGTTAATTAAGGATGCAAAAGCTAAATTAGATTCTCATCCACCATTTTGTAAGCGTGCCAACTCAACAGTACCAAAAGGAACAGACAGTAGCACAGCTACCTTCCTGTGCCTTTGGTTACAGAGCACTGAAAAGAAGGGGTACGCTAAGATGACTGATAAGGGAGTCCCGTCTCCAGGAGAGCAAGGACAGCACATGGCACAGGACCAAGATCTGTGCTACCAAATTATTCCTTTCTGAGGTCTTTCTAAGAGACAACACATCTAGCAATTTCTACAATGACTGTCATACCCTCATGCATTTTATCACCACAAATTCATTCATAAACACGTCCCAGATTTTTGCTTTAGGATTTACTTAAACATTTTGCTATAATGCTACCAACAAACCATAAATTATTTATTTGAAAACTTACTTTAATACCTTAAGGTAACTTTTAAAATCAAACATTACTACAGAGTTTTATAGGTTAATCCTATGCCATCAAAGCACAATTGGGAGATGTTTCCACATGCAAGAGAACAAAGTTATCAGCAAAAAGTAAGAATGCTCTTAAGTAAAACTCAATAAAAATGAAGTCCCACTGTTAGTTCCACAGATCTCATGGACCTGAGAAATTATCACAGTATACGAGCAACAGGAAAAAAAAATTAAATCTATGCAAAACAAACAGCATCCCATGTATTTTTCTGTTGAAGTGTCTGCTTGCAGTATCTTTTAAAATGTAAAAAAAAATCTAGAATTTATTTTAAAAAATTTAGCCAAATATAAATTTATAGCCAACTATGCTGAACTTATTTTCAGTGTTTTCATTTTATATGTAATACCAAAAACCAACCTGTGCCAGTCTTACTATATATAATACAAAAAACCAGCCTGTGTCAGCCTGAATGTGCTTTCATATTCAAAACATTGTGCAATTTTGAAACAGTACATCCACACAAATGCAATGTAACTATTATATTTATATACAAATCAAGAAGTTCACAGATCTTAAAACTGCAAACATTGACATTAAATAAGCACTGAATAAAAACAGAAAATCACCCTATCTTTCCCAATCATTGGCACCAGCTAACATTAAAAACAAAACAAACATGAGGGAAACATTGGGCCAAAAGAAACCAAAACCTGCAGCCAGGCAAAATATCGCCTATCTCCACTGTTATTACTGGAGTGACAGTTCACTTTTGCTACTAATGCCAGTTCAGATAAATTTGTATTTAGCAGATGCAAAATTCATAACTTTGAAGCAACTAATTACTTACACTTACTTTAATCTTAACACTCATGGGAAATGGCATAGCAAATAGTGGGGGGGAGCCAACAGCAAAAAATATCCCAGTCAGCTGGGGTTGGGAGTGATACTCCTTTTGATTCCTGCATTCTGAAACCAGCTTGTGAGGCACAAGGCATAAAGGCTCATCACTTCAGCATTTAAGATCCTAAAGGTCCCTCTTCCAAGTCAGGATTAACAAGGCTGCGACTTTGCCGACTTCCTACAGCTACAACACTCCGGACATTCAGAAGTGTATGCAGTAATCTGGACTCTGGACCAAAACAACAAAAGTATCAGCAGGCTCCACATCACAAACAGATAAAAAAATCATCCAGAACATCAAGAACTCTCTTGAAATGAAAAGCTGTGATTTCAATTAGTTTCACTACAAGGCAATTGAGATTTTTAAATCAGTATCATCCAAGTTTCAAGTTATGCCACAGAAAGCAACAAATAAAGCAATTGTTGAAAGATGACAATGAAAGCTTTCTTCAGAAAATGATGGTGCATAAAATGCCTGATGCCAAAATTCTGTCAAATAATTTATGCAGCAGCTGTTTTCAAAAGAAACATTCATACACACAGCCATGGGTCTAGGTCAGGTGAGGATGGGACAGCAGGATGCTCGGCTGGTAGAGAAGCAACACCCAAAAGCAGGATCCCTGGCTGATAGCTGAGGGCCTTCTCTCAGAAGCAGCCCCTCCAGCAGCATCGCTCCTAAGCTTGAGCAAGAGGTTTACCATCTGTTTCCCTAAATACACATAGATGTCAGGGACCACAGAGCTTTACCTACAGCAACATAATTCACTCGTTTATAACAGAAACTTATTTAAAATAATATACTTTTTCTTTTCAAAGTTTTATCCCATTCCATTTTTTGTGGTACCTAAAAGTTTTAGATCTTTGCGGGGGAAGCAATAGGCAACTCACAGGCCACTGGACCTGACTAACTGGTCTCAGATTTCTACAAAAATGTCTACACTCCAAGCAAAGTCTGTGAATGTCTGCAGGGCAATCATCTTTCACACTAACAGCTCCCTAATGACACACTTGCTGCAATCCAATAAAGAAGTTCATTTGCCACAGACTTTACTTCTGCATAAATCTTTTTCAGACGGACAGAGCGACCGCCTACACAGTTGTCTGCAATATAAGCAAACCAGGGCGGGAACTAAAACAAGCCATTTATCTCACGGAAAACAAAAAAACCAAAAAAAAAAAAAAAAAAAGGAAGAAGAAAAAAAACCCAATCCTGAATTGTACACCCAATATGCAAAAATTGACATTTGACCAGTGCTAGACATCACATGCAGAGTTTTACAGGCTAACTTTTTTCCTTCCCTTCTTAAAACCATGATTTCCCCCAACCCTTCCTTCTCTGAAACACCCAAAATAGGCTTGCTGTATCCAAAAAATAACAGCAATAGAACTAGTACAACTTATGTATTCATTGTATCTATAGGAAAATACATTTTGAAGAGTTAAGTATTTCTTTTAAACTGGACTTCCTGAGAACTTCAGAAGTAAAATGAAAAGCTGGCAGTTGCCAACACAGTATTCAATTAAAAGCAACTCCATACCAGTCAAAGAATACTGGTTGCAGTTTTGCCAGTTAATAAAGTGGTATGTTTTAGATGTGCTACATGATTTACATACACTTAATATTTATCGAGTTTAGTAACCTTAACTTCAAGCACCCGCAAATGCACTAGGGGAAATAATTCAAAGATTCTGAAGAGTCCCACAATGATAGAACTGTCAATCTTACCATTGGATGCACCATCAAAAATGGAAATCATGAATATAAACTGATAAAGTACTGTTGCTTCCAAGTGTAATAATCCTGTCTCTAAACATACAGTTAGCAAAGAAATACGACATGTACCCAGAATTTTGGGTATATCTCATCTCAAAGCCAAGTATTATATTTTCTGAATGATGCTGTTAAATCTCTGTTTAGTCTAACAACAAGTTCCATAAAATAAAGAAAACCTATGAACTGGCCACTCATCATTCTTCATATAAACTAGCTACAGTTCTTAAACTGAAATGTACTACTGTGAAGATTAACTGCCTTTTTGGGCCAATGTAAGATTTATTTTTCTTTGTACTACACGACTTGAAGGTTTCACTTCACAGAGTGATTAATAAATATCTACAGCAGAAAGGAAAAAAACCATTTTTTCTATTCAAAGTACGGCTAAGTATTAGCCTATTGGTACAGTTAGCCAACAAATGCAGTTCTTCAGTGTTGAAAGGAAAGAGTTTATCTAGGCTCCTTCTCCTTCAGCTCCGGAGTAAACTTGCTGAGCATGCAGGATACACTGGGTGCTGCTTTAATGGATCAGTATCTTTCCACAATCAGTTCTTTCTCCAGAAGTTTGTATAAAGCTTTGTTTACATTTACAAACTTGAAAATCCTCCCTTTCCTCTACTCCCACAAACTTCTAATGCAATATGAAGCGATAGGACGGCTTTGATGTATTTAACACATCCAACAGAAAGATGTCATGCCGACAACAACCTTCCTCTTCACCTCTGGCAACAGAGGCAGCCCCTCTCAAAAAGTGGAGCGAGGCTGCTGAAGAAGAAAGACCGTTCACCTCTCCTGGCAAAGGCTAAAGGAATGCTGCCAGGAACTGCCTTCTCACGTCATAACATCTACACGTCTTACCCTCCTGGTTTTGCAGCTCGTAGGTGGATCTAAATGCTCACTCTCTTTACAGCTTTACCCAGTTTTCTGTGAAACAACCTTTCTGGCAGTACTATTACCATAGCCCTGCAATGGCAGAAACAGTCAGAGCAGAACTCTTTTTGTCATCTCCACACACAGTTTCACCCCTTTTCTTTGAGTCAGCACTCAACAAAAACTCTCTGGACAGCTCCAGACATGTCACACCATGTCATTTTTTCATGCATTTTCTAAAGATGTTTTGCTTCTGCTCTCCAGTTTCCCAACCTTGTAGAACAACTGTGCCACTTCAGTACAAAGCTTGGAAATACGCCACTGCCTTGCAATTGCCATTTACTGGGAGGCTGCTTATCTGGGAACATTGCATTGACTCGCAGTTTATTTTTCTCACAGTCCCTCATGCTAAATCAATAGATCAATAGAGGTAAGTCTTATAACCCAACCAACAGTTACTACTTGTGCCATCTTCAATGAGTAAAAAACAACTCCACTGCAGCAGCCATAATGTTACTGTACACCAGCTCCACATCTTCCCTGGAGCACACGTTGCCCGGCAGCGCCGTGCCAACGCACCCCGAGCTGACAGCATCTCCACAACCCTCTCTCCATGTGCCAGGCGCTGCGCAGGCACACGCGTCCCCAAAAACGCTCCGGTGGCACAGACACGGCGACAGGCACCTCCGATGGAAACGAACCAGAGCCACGTACGGCGATATATCTGAGCGCTGACACGAGCCAGCCGCAGAGAATGAACTACTTGAAACTCAGAAAATGCCACTCCCGTAACTCAGTTTGAAACATGGAATCGTTTTTAAAGCCGGTACTAGAAAGAGGAACACGAAATACTTGTCTAGGGTGTTGCACAGACTGGAAAAGACAGCTTAAAAGCACCTTACAACCAAAGTGATTAGTTGTGTTGGCATGGAGTCCAAAGAGGGTTTTGGTTTGTTTTTTTTTTCCGCGTTCAGATTAAGAAACTGACAAAAGACAAGTGAATTCCACAAAGTTGAAACTAAAACCCCTTATCTGCGCTAAACTTTAAGCGACAAGGTTAATTACCAATGCCCACGACTTCTACTAAACATTAATCCATTCAAAAAAACAATGCACAAAGGCTCATTCAGGGCCGCTGCGCCCATTACGTCGGTCAGTACTTAAGGACTCTTAAAAACGCGCATTTGTCGAAAACAATAGACAGCAACAGATGCTCCACAGCACTTGTTTATGAAGTAATTCCTTATTATTCTCCCACACCGCCGCACTCAGCCGGCCCGACCCGACTGCCACATGTCTACTCCGGTGTAACCTGCCGAGCCCGGCACATGAATAATGCAGCGCAGGCTGCGCGGGCACGCCGGGGCGCGCTCCCGGGCCCCCGACACAGCGCGGCCAGCCGGGGGGCGGCGAGCGGGGCGGGCGGGCTCACGCCTGCGGTTGCCGCCCCCGGGGCCTCGCCGCCCGCGCACCCCTCGCCCCAGCGCCCCCGCCTCACCTGGGACTCCGCTCCCTCCGCGGCGCCGAGCGGAGGGGGGCGCCGAGCCGCCGGGACAGGGTGCTCGGGGCGCGGCGCTCTCCGCTCCTGGCGGGGCGGTGTGTGCCCCCCGCCGGCCCCTCGCAGCGGGGCAGGAGGCGCTGCGGGGCCGCCCCGCGCTGCTCGCCGGGGACGCGGCGCGGAGCGCGGCGGGCGCTCTGACAGCTCCGCAATATGGCGGCCGCCGCCGCCGTTCGGATTTTCCCCCCTATCAGATGTGGCTCCTGCGCGCGCACTGCGCACGCGCGGCGCGGGCGGGCGGGCATGCGCGGCGCGCGGCGCGAAGCCGCTGCCCGGAGGGGCGCGGGGGCGGCGGCTGCGAGGGGCTCCCGTGAGGGACGGGGAGCGCTCAAGGAGCGCTCGGGGAGCGCGGCTCCCGGCGGGGACGGGGAGACGGAAATCTCCTGAGGGGGTGGTGGCGAGTGCTCGCCTTATGAGACGGAGAGCCTTCCGTACGGAGTTGCGCGCCCCTCCGCGCGCTCCGGCGGAGCTGGTGCTCGGGGAGCCCGCGCAGCCCTGCCCGTGTCCTGGGCGCATGTGGCAGCTGCTCCCGCGGCGGAGCCGCCCTGCAGGAGCCCCCGCTCGCTGGAGTGAGGAGGGGATGAGCAGAAGCAGCTCTCCCGTTAGCGCGGGCGGGCGGGAAAGGACAATCTCAAAAAAGGCTTGAGCCAGGGAGGGGGAGTTGGCGGCGTGGTTTGGTTTTTGGTTTTGTTTTTTTTCCGTCCAAAGCCCCGCCAGGCAGGCGTGCGCTCGGGGCGCGGTGGCAGGCCGGCTGTCTCGCCTGATAGCGCGGCTCGGAGCTGGCGGCGCAGGAGCGGGGTGAGCCGTGAGCCGGGGCTGGGAAGGATCGAGCTGTGGTGGCTCATGAGAACAGGGATGCCTTCAGGGAAAGAGCGTGGGATGCAGTCCGAGTGGGGAGCACTGACCCTCTTCCTCTCCATATCATCGCAGTGATGGGCGTTCTCTCTTCATCACTCAGTCGTGTGAAACAGTCACGCTGGTGGATGGGATCGCACCTTTTTTTGATATTTTTCTTTTTTTTTTTATTTTGTGCAGTCACAATGGGAATGTAGAAGAAAATAGCAGTGAGGAGAATCCTGAAGGACAGAGAGGTTGAGGCAATCCCAGCCCCCACCGTGCTTTCTCAGTTTATTTTTGTTTGCAAGGAAGTGAAGGTGCTCCCGGAGCTCAGTGGCAGCCCAAGCAGAGGCCAAACAGCAAAGCTCGGTGCAAAGGGATCCACTCGAGCTACCAACTCTGAGTCATGCAGCTGCTATTAATACACCTCACCCCCTGGCTGTCTGATAAAGAGAAGCTGGGGGAAGAACTATGAGGAATTTTCAATTAAAAGCTGCTGCAAAAAGAATTAAAAGAACATTCATATTCAAAAAGAATAAAAAAGAACATTCTGATAAGGTGAATGACCACAGAATACAAACTATTATAAAATTAAATTTAATTATTGATATACGTTTGAACATAATTACTTTTTCAGGAGACATTAAGTTTAATTTGTGATATTTTTATGCATTTTGTTGTATATTTCAAACCGGCATTTATCTTAAGTCATCATCAGAGAATCTGAACATCTCAGTCTATGTAAGATATGTTACATTTCCTTACATCGGCTAAAATTTCATTTCCAGCTTTGTTTGTGCCGTTTTGCTCCAAGGGAGAAGTGACGGTGGCTAATTCCCTCTTGTCTCTGTTCTTCATTGTGAACATCCTCATGTGAAACAGTATTTTGCAGCCCATTAAACTTCTAAGGCATCTTGCGGTGTCTGCAGATACACAGTTTCACGGACCAGGCACCCTTAGTGTGCGTTGTACTGTTCCCCGTTCAGATGGCCTTTACCTGCAGGTCAGAGCAAGGGAAATGAAACAAACAAACAAAATGCAGAAAAACAAACCCTGTTTCATTCAGCCACTTAAATAAATTGGCTGTGATTCACTGCAGTGCACAGATAAAATGTGTTTACTTTAGTTGACCGAATTAAAGGCTTGCTTTCTTCTCAAGTAGTCCGTTCTGAACCGGCTCAAAAGTAGGATTATTGCACTAGGGCTCAGTTCCATTGCTGGTGTTGATAGCCTGTGGAAGCCAGTTCCTTTCAGTTTGTGCATTATCACTGCAGGATATGCTTTATCTCTTATCCTGTTACATGAAGAATATTATTGCTCAGAAATGTCAAGGTAAATAATAGTCTTATCTTCCTTGTCAACAGTATAATGTGGTTTTCTTCTCACCTTGCTTCCTTAACAAGGTGTAAAATTGCAGTTTGTCTGATAAAACAGGGCAGTAAAAACAGAAGTGTAGTTAGAGATCATATTCTTTGTAGCCATGAAACTGAAACTACAGAAAGAACTACAGGCAATAAAGAGAGCTTTCAGATACCCCTATCAACTTAAATTACACAGTTCTTTAAGAGGTAGGTTATAAAGATAAAGCTAATGATAAGAATGCCCTAAGTGCAAGACATAAAAGTTTGTCTTTCAGCAGTAATGCCAAAACCCAGCTCTTCATTAAAAAACAGATTTTAAACTTCTATTGCCTGATCTGCGAAATCAATCTTAGAGTCCTTTTAGAAAATAATGATTGTTGGGCCAAGGTTTCTTTTCTTCAGTGCACCTGCAAAAGCATAAAGCATCAGTCAGTGAATACCCAGTTGTGTGTCAGAATCTGCTTTTATTGAAGCCAAATGTACAGTTCAAGGGGCATTTACTAGACAAGGCATTTTGGAAAGGACAGCTTAAAAAAACCCAAAAACCACCATGAGAAATTTCTGAATTTTTTATTTTCAAATTGTATGCAAAACACCTTGACCTTACCTAGTTCAACAGCCTGGATAGAAGTGTGGTGCTACCCATAGCATGCCCCTAACGTGAAGAGTTATACATGGACTCAGCCTGCACGCCTGGAAGGCAGCCATTCTGGGAATAATTATACATATGACTCAACACACATACTCAGCTATTAATATGTTTACAGAAGCAGACCTGACATTGTCTAAAATTATTGCAGGGTAATTTTACTCTTACTAATTGCATGGTCTAAAACCAAATTGCCTTTTTTTTTTTTTTCTGTTAAAAGGATACATTGCCTAATGGACATTAATAATTATTTTTCCAAACAATACGTTAGATTGCCCTTTAAAGTCTTTTCTAGAAACAAATGGAATTTAAAGTATTCTGTGGTCATCAGATAAATCCAATTCACAGATATTTTAAATATTTGGTGAAATTACAATAAATGTCTAAAGTAGTAGTTTTTATGTCTCTTGTTAAATTTGTCTGTCATTTAAAAGTAAATGTATCTAATTCCAAAAATTATTTTTCATGCGTGGTATTAACATACCAGATTCCAATAAAAATGAAAGGGTTCCAGTAGCAACACTGAGAATTCCAAGTTGCCTTCGTTGCATGCATATGTACAGTCTTAGCTTTGATCAAGTTCAAAAGGCAAAATATGGCATGATCCTGGGGAATTTGGGTTTTCCCTCTCTGAAATACCATGGGTGTGTGAAGCTTATTTAGGTGTCCTCCAGGGCCAAGATCCTGCACTTGGGCAGTGCCTCCAGAATCCTCAGCTCTGGTGAAGAAGTCTGGGAGTCCACGTCCAGGACAATCCCCTGCATGAGTGTTGTAATGAGGGAGGACAGACCTAGCATGCAAAAAGCCACATGGAAGGGGAATGCTCCCTCTTCAGAGACACACAGTGAACAGAAAGGACAGATCAGCACCTGAAAGCCTGGACAAAACACCTGAACAACAGTGGCAGAGCAGTGAAATCAGTGGTGGCAGCTGGCTCCGTCTTTCAGCCATTGATTTGGTCACCCACCTAAGGGGACTTAGCCTCTAATAGTGACTGTGAAGCCTGGCTGGCCAGCACACATCTTTCCCATTGAAAATCCAAAGGATTTTTTGAAAAGCTTTGTCCTGCAGCCCAATCAATTCCTGCCAGTGTAAGATTTAGGAACATTGTTTCCCTTGCTGACTGTGCTAACCCACAGCCTGAGACACAGGGGAGTAAGAAGCCCAAAGGCTTTATCACTGAGGGTCTGTCACACATGGTGACTTCTTCCACTAACAGATTTTTGGCTTTTCCCTGGTTTTTTGTCACTGGTACTACAGCAAAGATACCATAGTGGTGTCCACCTACTGCAGAGTCAAATCTTAATACATTTTCTACTCAAGACCGGGAGTAGCAGAATCACTTGTAGAGGACTGCGTTTATTTAAGTGCCAAATATAGATCTGAGCAATTCATTGTAAGTGAATCAGTAGTCATATCACTTGGTAATAATTTGCTTATTTTGTACACCAAGTGTGTATTATGCAGCACTTACATTCCCTCTATTATTTCAATCACGTTTATAATGTTATGATTGATTTTTTTTTTACCTCAGTAATTGCACAAGAGACAGGTTAACAAATAAAGCTGCTTACAGTTAAGGTTGGAGCAAGCTGTCTGATTTCTTGCATGTCACTGCTCTTGTGTCGTGTCACCCAAATGTGCCTTCACTGATACATAAGGTTGTCATCTAACAGCTGACACTTAGCTGCAGTTCCTGCTTGCGTCCACTTAATATTTTTATCTCATTCATAGTTATAATTATTATGACAAGTACAAGTTGTTCTGCAGTGACAGCACTGTTTTTTTAGTGGTGGTGTTTATTTAGATAGATTGTGGCAGTAGCTGTGTCATGTCCATAGCACTGGAAAACAAAGTCATTGATAACCATATCACCTCAGCAAAATAATGTTATAACAAAATAAAATAGTATGTAGTGTACTAAGCACTTAAAGACACCAACCCAGACAACTTTTTTTAAGAATCTATTTCTGCAGGCAAAAAACCCCAAAAAATTAATATGATTACCAAGGAATTGGATGTAAGTGTTTGAAAACTTGAAAAATATATACACCTGTTAGAGCCAAAGCAAGTATTTTCAGGGTTGTGTTATTGCTGGGTTTGTGTTTTGTGGGTTTTTTGTTTGTTTCTTCTAAGGTGGATGTACACTATTCTGAGAGACACCCATAACTTTGTGAATAAATAAAATCATAATAAAAAGTAGAACTTTTTACTAGGAATCCATCACTGGGCTATTTTTAGGTCCTAGTCCCTTTTAATTTTACTACATTTACTTGCTTCTTTATTAACAAGTAGAAATAAGCAAAACCATAGAAGGACTGTTACAACTTTTCAGGCAAAATATATTCTCAAC